AGAGAGAGAGAGAGAGAGAGAGAGAGAAATATATAGATAGGTAGATCGATAGATAGATAGATAGATAGATAGATAGATAGATAGATAGAGGGCGGCCCGGTGGACCTCACAGGGCAAAGGTACCGGGTTCGATTCTAGCTCCGGCTTACCTGTGTGGAGTTTGCATGTTCTCCTCGTTCCTGCGTGGGTTTTCTCCAGGTACTCCGGTTTCTTCCCACATTCCAAAAACATGCATGACAGGCTGGAGGCTATCCCAGCTGTCTTCGGACAGTAGGCGAGGTACACCCTGAACTGGTTGTCAGCCAATCACGGCACACATTGACGAACAACCATCCACACTCACACCTAGGGACTATTTTAGAGAGTTCAACCAACCTACTATGCATGTTTTTTGGAATGTGTAAGGAAACCGCAGTACTCAGAGAAAACCAACGCAGGCACGGGGAGAACATGCAAACTCCACAAGAAGGCCAGAGCCTGAAATCGAACCCTACACCCTGATACATAGATAGATAGATCGATAGATAGATAGATAGATAGATAGATAGATAGATAGATAGATAGATAGATAGATAGATAGATAGATAGATAGATACCGCATATATAGTATTCACACAAACACCTTGTGTAACACTTTACATAAAAAATGGGTCATGTTGCAAAGGGTGATACAGGGTTTAAAAAAAGTCAAAGCCTATCATGCCACAGAGAGCAAAGGTTTGACCACACCCATGACCAAAGGCAGATGGCAATTGCTAATAAATTTCATTCAAAATCTTCTGACTCTTGAATTGCTTTTGCACAATGTTCACTGTGAGTTTATTTTTCTTAGAAATGTGATCATTGTGCAATAAGTGCAGCAAGATTTCATACGGAACTACCGTGAACTGCAGCATATCTGATCTTGTTGCTTGTTATTCTTTCTTGCTCCATATTTGGAGGACAACCATTGTTTTACAGTGGTCTTTCTATTCAGGTTTCAGCATTTGAAAATTAAGAGTTAAGTTGGAACAACAATTTTTTTTCAGCATGGCAAAATACAATCGACAGTATGAATGATATTTATGATATTTAGCCTCTCTTCAAATGAGACAACAAATAGTTCTCCTATCAACACACCTCAAAACATGTCAAACTAAGCGGTTGTGCGTAGATGTAAATTTCGCATTAGATATGCAGTTGAGGTGTCAAAAAAAGTCTGAAATGACCTTTTATTTCTTTTTCATGGTCAAAATACTGTCGAGTATTACTAAAAATTACTAAAAGAACGCACAGTGGAGGACATGGAAGCACATTAACAGAAAACTTTAAAAACATTTCCAAAAAATGTAAAGTAGATAGAATAAAAAATATGTATTTAAAACTCACCAAATGAAAAAAAAAATGATTTAAAAAATGATTAAAAGACCTTAACCCTTTCATGCACAAAAAATAATAACCTACATCAGGATTTTTTTTTCTCAAGTGTTTTTATTAGTCTTTCGGCATGGAAAAAAAAACCGATGGCAGTGGATGGCAACACACATAAGGGTCCATTGTAGTGGTTAATGAACAATTGTGGTATTAAGATTAATTCATATAAGAGAAAACAACATGTGAATGGCTGTCCACTCTCATAACTGTTCAGGGTTAATCACAAATTTGGGGGAAAAAAAAAATAATCTGGATTTAAAAGCATTTGCACTCGTGACTGACTTCACTTCTGTTGGTATCTTATCCCGTTTGCATCCATCATCATACCTAAAAGCAAATTCACCATGTTTACTTTAAACTCTGGGCTCAACAAATTGACCCAAGTTCGCAGATCTCTCAGCTCTATTGGGTTTATAATGAATCAGTATTTCTTCGCTGTATACAGGACATAATACATATTGTAAAATTTTGAATTTTAACATCTATTCTACATCTGATTGGGAGCCGGTGTAAAGCCTTTCTGACGAGAGAAATACTTTGTATGTTCAAGCTGCTCGCAAGATTTGAATCTAGCTTCACTTCACCACTACCATTTTCTGTCCTTTAACCAAGTAACGCCCCTCAACATTTTGTTGACGGTGGAGGGCTGGGAAAGGGTGTGTTATTGCTCCTCTTCAAAGTGCCCATGTGCGCCACATGCATTGTGCACAAGCAACGTTATTAGCCAAGACGATAGCATGGATTATTCATGTTAGAAAGTGACCAAACATGAAATGTTACCGGACTGATATTGTATTATTTGGAATCTACAATAAATTACAAATAGGTGAGAGGTGCTAAACTTACCTGAGTAACTGGCAGACAACTTGAGCATGAGCATGCATGACTGCATGTGTGTACATGGGAAAACGACAGACTATTGGGTCACACCCTGTGTCTATACAGTCCCCAATTGGCTAGTTTTGTCACTCCGTGACATGTTTAGAAATAATAGCCTAGAGTTAAATCAGAGATATAAAATGCGGCTAGGCTGATTTAGCAAGAGTATTAAGGTAGCGCCTGTGAGGATCGAGGATCTGGCACATTGATGCGGTATTTGCGTTTCCTATGCAGTCTGTTGTTTGTTGTTTTTTTCACCAGGCTACAGCACTGCAGTAGATTATATCACTGGATTTGTTGCCATGGGCGTACTGGTGCTGTGCATTGTACATAATATAAAAGTAATATCGACAAAATTCAGGGTTGCATGTTGGCTTGGCCCTCTGCAACTCCTTCAGTTTTTAATTTGGCCCCTTGGCAAAATTAATTGCCGACCACTGATTTAGAGTCTTCAATTAATTTAATATTTTTGAATATAGGATGACGCAGGAATACAACCCCACACATGCAGACTCCACAGAGAAACCTGTGAGCCAGGACTCAAACTACAAACCTCAGGAATCTGATGCAGAAATGCGAACCACTATTTCTACCATGCAGCCCGCACCACTTGACATGTGAAAAAAATCATTTTTAATCTTTTGATTTGGCATCGTTGCTTAAAAACATCCTATATCAGATCACGCTTCCGCTGAAGTTTCAGTAAAATTAGCCATACCTTTCAGAAAGTACCAATTCTGATTCTTTCAAGAGTTTCAAATGCAATGAATTTAAAAAAAAAAAAAATCAAACCACAGATTATGCGAAAAGAGAGGAAAAGCGAGAAGGAAAGCAGAAGTATGTGCGTCATGGAAACAACATTCCTGCTGACTGTGACCTTTCGAACACCCAAGATATTTTGTTATCTTGAAAAGAGAGCAACATCTGTGGGTTGACCAAGATGAAGCTAAATATCAACACAAGCACACGCAAGGGCATTTTTTTTCTTTGGTTTATTGCTGTCCTCAAACAGCTTACATATTTCAATTTAATAAATATGTTCAATATTAAATGCATACCATGAAATGAGAAAAGTGACTCTCAATCTGTTTGTTTGCAATGACAGAGGTGAACAAGCATTCATACGCACAAGCCTTGGAAACAGCAGCAATCCTATTGGCCTCACTGTTGCTTTAAACAGAGATCTAAAAAATGATATTACTGTACTACTAAAACAGGAGCAATAATAGTTATAATAATAATAATTATTATTGCTTATGATTTTTACTACCAGTCCCCATTCTCATAGTTCTCTCTCTCTCTCTCTCTCTCTCGCTCTCTGTGTGTGTGTATATATATATATATATATATATATATATATATATAATAGATAGATACACATGAATTCTCCCACACTAGAAGTGTACAGGAGTTAAGTCAAACGGCTAGGTAAATAATGCTTGAAGTATCTTTTTACAGGTTTATTCCGTACGTCGAAAAGGAACTAATGATTTTCATCCAAGTGTTGACATTTGTTGATAAGGGCATGTCAACATATAGTGTAAAGCATGTCAAGCAAGACAGCCTTGTCATCCAAACATCCACAACCTTTAGGAGCTCCAGGCCGATCTTATCCAACCCCAGGGACTTGATAGCAAGGAACTTCTTAACCATGGAAATATTTTTCAGGCAACATCTTGAAGTCCAAGTGTGAAGTAAAGTTGGCCAACTATGTTTTTGAGTAATATCAATGGCTGAACAATTATAAGTGTATTTCCGTTATTTTTTTTAACGCAACCCTTCCAGAATCTTCTTTTAACCCTGAGCAACGCCCTTGACAACGAAAATGCTTTTCTTCAGCAATCTTCGGCAATCTTCGGAAATGACGTCACTTGGTGAACTGCGAGGGAAGTTGGATAGATGATGATGATTTTGTCAAAGCATAGCTGCCAACTCTTGTGGAATGAACAGTAGAAGGTAGCGACGTTAGCTGAACTGAGTTTAAAAAAAAGTCATTTAAAAAAATCTCTCAAGTACAAGTCAAAAAATGATTTGCTAAAAAGAATACTCAAGTACCGAGTAGGCTAACTGCTTGAACATGAAGTCTGATTTTTTTTTTAAAACAATGTCATCAGACAGACAAAAACATAAAATTATGTGCACATGCCTGCATCTTCAAATCATAAAAATAATCCCAGCCTATATTTTACTAATCTTGTAATCTCGATGGGTCTTGTCTCCATTCCATGTCAGGTCGTCTGGGCACATTGTTTGCATCCTGATTAGCGTCTGGTTCATACATGTAAGGTCCAACATGTAAAATTCCAACCTCCTCTTCTTCCTCCAACTTACAAAAACTTGGATATCCTCACTTGCGCTCAATCTATCGCTTGTATCGCTGTTTGAATCATTGTTTGAAATGCTTTGCATCTCGGCCATATAGAGCTCTGCCATCGCTGTTCTCCATGTGGCGTATCACTTCCGGGGTAGTCCCCTTTCAGGCTCGAACTTCGGAAAAGCGATTATTTTGTCAAATATACAACATATAAATTATTTTTTCATGCTTTATTTGGTGGACAATGTTTAAGTACTTTCATTGTGACCCTATTTGGCATTTCATGAAATTACTTCACACTTGGCCTTTAAAGTCTTTGACACATTCTTGAGTAATTTCCAGCCAGAAGATACCCATTCTAGAAATGAATATTCACTATTGACATCATAATTCATTTATTTTAAGACTATCACAGTATGTTACAATCGCTTCTCCGTAACGCGACCAATTAGGCTAAAAACAAACACCGGAGCTCGCAAAATGAGTAAAAAAACTGCTGGAGATCGCAAATGACGGCGGCCTTAAAAGAACGTTCGAGACAACTGGATTAAAGTTGTGGCTGAATACTCTGAGATCGCCACAATAGCACTTTTGCTATTTCCGACATCCTACCTGTGTGAGTCGGGGGGGTTTCTGCAGCAACGGCGACGAAAACAAAATTACGAAGTAGACTGGACATAAACCACACACTTGAGGTGTCATTGTCTCCTATTACCCCGAGATGGGACTGTCTGATTGCAGAAAATCAAGCTCGGGGCTGTGGTGAGTCGTCATTTTCATGCACTTTGAATTTGCGTTGTATCGTATTTTGAAGGCATTAAACATTACCAGAGCGATAAGAGTGTTGCGACCAGATTAGACGCTCCTTGTGTTTATTATTATATTTCGAAAACACCACAGTTTTCATGCAGCTCATACCATATTATTTTGTTGTATTAATTCCGCCACACCTTAAATGCCGGTCCCTGAAAATATTGTCTGACTTAAACCGGTCCGTGGGGCAAAAAAGGTTGGGGACCCCTGCTCTAAGCTTGATGAAATGCTTGCAATAGTAATGAGGGGTTCAGTAACTGCAGTGACAAGTCCTGTTAAATATTTTAGAGAATTTTTGAAACAAACAACTCAGATTTGAACTTTTGTAAAACAATAACAACAACAAAAGAAAAATCACCTGTGTTTGCGAACATGGGCGTAAATACTTGCATCGTTTTTCGCCGCAACAGTTCCACGAGGTTGCTGTGACAACTTCACTTGGCCATACTCCACCTCCACTTCTTCTCTCATTTTTATTGATCTCCGCGGCTGATTAACGATCCTCACGTCAGCGTACGTCAATTCCTCTTCATCTTTGATCAAAGACAAAAAAGTGGAGAATAAATGAAAACCGAAGCAAAAAAAGAAAAACAGTGTTCAAACCACAAACTGCCAAAAACCTGTACCTTCAACACTGCTTTGCTTTTTTTTCAACTTGTACACAACCGCCAATCCGATCATTAAGAGGATGAACAGTGCTGAGAGAATGCCGCCCATTAGAGGCAAATAATTCGTACTGTGAGGGCTCTCGTCTCCTGGGGTGGGTTTGTCACACAGGTTTTTTTTCATTTCAGGCAACCACTGAGATATGACAGTCCCATTCGATGTGCAGTTAATGAACACTACAAACAAAACAAAACAACGTAAAACATCAAACACCAAAGCGTATTTAGTATAACCATAGTTCTCAGATGAATTTGTTCTTTCTCACCGCAAGATAGAGTAACTTCATTTTGGGATTCACTGACGTCGTTTCTAACGAAGCAAATTAGCTGTCCTGAGATGTATGGTTTCAGGGTGATGTTGTTGGCTTGAACATCTCCTGAGAGGAGGTCAGAGTCTTGCAGGGGCTTTTTGTTGAGGCTCCACCTGTATTGAAGACTGTCACCTCCCTTGGAGGAACAAGACACCGGCTGCACTCCTTGGGACTGACACTTTGAGGCCAGATGGACCGAGGTTACAGGAGCTGAGAGAAGCACACAAACATAATTAATATTGGCGTAAAGCCGATCAAGGGTTCCCATTATTATATGGATTGGAAGCGATCTTGGAAGTGAACCACGATGCTATCAGTGACTTCATGGTACACGTTATGTGTTGTGGCATATAAATGCCATCTTAGGGCAGACGAAAAAACAGGAAGCGAGCGTACGGGAATACACATGTGATAGGAGTCGGCATAAAGTATGGAGCAGGAATCAAAACAAATTGAGTCCACTTTTCATTTAATCTCATCTAAACGGACGCATTTTATGCCAAAACCAGGTACAGGTTGGACTTCGGTCAACTGAAATCATTTGAGAGTTTTTTTTGTCATGACTGTCAGCAAAAGAAACACATCTTGCGGACTTGTATGTAAATTGAAAAAGGCCACAGTATTTGTCCGCAAAATTTGGCGCATTTTTGGTAAAAATCAATCTCACTTGTTAAAAATAAGCCTACGAGACTTAATGCGTCTTAAATATGTCTCACGGGGAATGGAAAGGCACTTTTTCATCGGTTGAGTTACGTCACCTTACAATGAAAAAAATCTGGCTAAATTTGCAAGAATATACACAAAGTACGGTAGTCAATTTTCACCAAGTGGTACAGTTTGTTTCAATAGAGTACAATATGCACTTTTGGGTGTTTTGTTTGGAGTTCGCCAGCGATCCCTCATCTCCAATTTGTTGTCCAATTAGTTGAAAATGCTGCTGTTCATCTCTTAACTGGAACAGGTGAAGCCCAGCCCACACGAGGCACCATCGGCCTTCCACCATTGGCTCCATGTACAGATGGCTCCCGAGAGGCGATGGTGCGGATCTCCGCACCGTTGGCATGGCTGCTTAAATTTGCATTGATAAAGTGTTTGGGTTCATGTGACCATTCAACATGGTGACATCCAAGTCAGATTCAAGTGATCTTGAAGCCAAAGAGATATTGTTGGATTTTTTGCCACTTGTCTGAAAAAAAAAAAAAAAAAAATTAAAAAACAGACTGAGGGTTGCTTCTCGTGAAATATGGTGTGAGTACTCCAGGAGAGCCACCACAATATCCTGATGTGTGTGAAGGGCGCATGCGCTGTGGATAATGGCAGTGTGCGGTGGGCTCCTATGCCCCAACCACCTCGACTGCCTGAGTGCCAGAATTATCAAACATGTTAGATACTCATCATAATACCCATCCGTGCTAAAAAAAAAAAAAAAAAAATAGCAAATGAGTGTCAATGACACCTCGTGTGCGTCGGACTTCAGAGGGAGCGCATAACTCCTATTCTGACCACATTATACTGACTGCCTGTGAATTTTAGAGGTCCAATCTCTCAATGTTGTTTAGATGTCTCCCTCCTCCAACATACCTGATTCAAATTATCCGGTCATTAGCAAGCTTTGCAGAAGCCTGATAACAACCCTGACTATTTGAATCAGACGTGTTGGAGGACAGAGACATCTAAACCAGGCTGGATAGGGACTCTCGAAGACGGAACCTGGGCACCTCTGTTGTAGCATACCGGGACCTTTTACTGGCGTATTTCACATGAGTGCACAGTACCTAGCCTGGCAAACCAAACCCACATTTTTTCGAAAGAAAGTGGATCTGGAAAGCCCGCCCTCTACCGAGGTTCAAAATGAACTGTGAGATCAAATTTGTCTATTTGATGTGATGTATTCTTTGTAAACAACGTCACTCTTTGGCAGCAGAAGTCCATCCTCATACAAAATGGCGTGCCGGAGAAATGATAGGTTGTTCACATCATTCTTCATTAAATCACTTTTAAATAACCAGAAATGCAAAGAGTCATGAAAATTCCAGAAGCTGACCGCGCTGGAAGTGCATATAATTATATATATATATCCCCCCAAAAGAAATGAATTTGCACAACATCCATCAGTCCAGTTTCTAAAATGCTTGTAAGCTGAAACCTATCAAGGCTTACTTGGGGCAAGATATGTAGTACAGTACATCTTTTACTGGTCACTAGCCAATCGCAAAGCACATATAAACAAACTTGCATTCATGCTCATATACACTCTTTATGAATAATTTAGAGTCTTCATTTGTGAAGATCAGCAGTTTGGATAAGGGATGGATAGATGGTTTGGGGATGAATCAGCAAAACGGAGTAGCCGTAGAAAAACCACACCCACAGGCACGCAGCGAGGTCCTTGTCAAATACTGAAACCAAGACCTCTTGACTGTGCGGCATGACGTGCTAACTGCTGCCCCAATGACTTCAAGCACTGTTAGTTTTGGTTTTTGTACTCACTGTAGCAGAGTTTGTACATATGACACAAAATGCAATTAAACGATAAAATATTTGTTCAATCTTCACCTTGAATGAACAACTGCAGCGTCCGATTCTCAATTCCGATTCCTTGTTTGTTAAAGATTTGAAGAGTATAGTTCCCACTATCATTTCTCTTCAGGTTTTCTATCTTCAGCGTCCCACTGTTTGGAGTGAAGCTAAATCTTTCAGGCAGCTTTGTCAGAAGTGTGTTCTCTCTCCCTCTGAGTAAAATTATTGCTTTTTTCAGCCAGTTATATCGAAATGGGGCTGTGTCCATCAGACGGAGGACTATTTTTCCATCCAGCGGTCCATAACACTGAGCTCCTTCTCTTCTGCCATCACAGAGCTTGCCCGCCCCTAGAACACACAAGAACAGTTCTTTTCCATAAAGCACGATTTTAAAATGGTATATCATGAATTGTGGAGAATCAGTTCATGTTTTTAGGATTAGTTGTTGAAATATACAGGTATGTTTTAAGAGTATAACCTGAATGTTTTTAGAATTTGTAGGTCTGGTTCAGCAATGCTTTTATTACTGTCAAAATAATTAAAATTGATTGAGAGTTTTGGGAAAGGGATCTAACAAATAATCATCCCAACCAGAACAAAGTGTTACATTGGTTATAACTATCATATTTTTTCTGTAGCTGGGCATTAAGTAAATATTTCATCATATATGAATGATTTCATTACCATATATTTTACATTCAGTTAAAATTAATTGCTGAATTATTTAGTCAAAGTATTTTGAAAGACATTTTCTTTAACATTATTGCCACTTCTCCAAAAAAATCGGCGATTTTAGAAGACAAATGGGAATGGACCGAACAAGCTTGAATTCACATTATTGCTGCAAATATTTTCTGTAAGAGTGAAATTCCTGACCTTGAGAAATTGTGACGAGCCACACCACGAGTCCAAGTGTAGCTCTCATATCTTTGATGAGCCACTCAGCTGCCTCAAAAGAGATGTGAGAAAGAGTGCGGAGCAGTTTTTGAATTTGTTCTTTTTCAACTGATTGCAGAGATGAAAGGGAAGTTCTACTTCTTGTTTTAGCAGCGTTACGACTGAAGGCCTACATATCGTAATCCAGCAAGCTCAGTCGGAGAAAACAATGTCAGGTAATCTTTAAGGAGCTCCTCTACACAGACACGAGTTGCATATTTGTCCTATCCAACCCAGTTGAATTACTTTATTTTATCTTGGTATGCTTCGATTTATGTTGTATTGTGGCTATCACTTTCTTAAATCACTTTCTCCATTTTGTTGATGTTCATTGCAGACAACTGAAAATACAGTGCCTTGCCAAAGTGTTTTTCTTATTCTTCTTATTCTTTCATACCCATTTTGTGATAAGTTCTAATTAAAATGATTTTTTTGATCAGATTTTTATGAAGGATCTGTACAAACAATCTGAACAAAGCCGGGAAGCACAAGGAACTCTCCAAACAAGTCAGATGCACAACTGTTGAGAAGTAAAAGTCAAGGTTGAGGTAAAAAATAAAAATCCAAATATTGTAAGTTCAGTAAATACAAAGGTCTGATGCATGCTCAGAATAACTTCTTAAATTCCATTCACAAAAGAAAAAAAAAACTGATATTTTAAAATTGGTTTACTCGGAGAACATCAAGACATGTAACACGAACAAGACCTTGATCATCCTCACTCAAAGGCGATGATGTACATTGATGCTCACAGAGGACAGACGACGAGATGAAACATGGGCGCCAACTGCAGTCAGATTCATGATGTAGAGAGATTCAAGAAACAAAGTTATAGAGGTCAAAGAACGACGTGCTTCTGTTCACAATTAACAGAAAACTGAACCTCAAATGCCGAAAGCAATGAAAATAACAACACCTTGACTGCTTTTAGGCTTTCATACATCCAAAGTTGATTTTGAACTAATACCGGCACCAGTTAAATTGATTACAACAGACCTGCATATTTGATTTTTACTTGCTTAGGCGCTGAACTGGTTGGAAATAAGTTGAACCAAACAGTCCATTGGTCAACTATTTGAGGCAATGCCCGGCATAATTTTTTTGTGTTTTGTTCTTCTTCATTTGGCAAAGTGTTTTTCAAGACAAGACAAGACAAGAAAAATGTTCAAGACTCAAAATAATGAATGCTGTCCGATTGGAAATGCACTTTCCCTCACTATTGTACTTTGGCTCCCTCTTCTGGTAAAATATGGTACAAACACATTGAATATAATAGTGTACAAACTGTACTGTAAATAAACACATCCAGTTGTTGTGTTCTTTTTGTATACAATCTGTTTTATATACAGATTGTATGTATACAGAAAGAGGACCAGTATTCTAGGAAATAGGAAATATTATGAAAGAAAATCGGAAATCTTGATGATATTCTCGACCAGGGATGGGCAATTTAAATTTTGGAGTGGGCCAAAATTTTTCATCAGTGCTACTGGGGGGCCACATGTACTCCCTTAACCAGATGTATAGCAAATATGCTGTTGTAAATATGAACAAAATGTGTGCAGACATGCAAAATTTGTGCTCTTAAAATATTTCATTTTTCGAATTATTCAATGCATGTACAGTATTAAGATAAGATAAGATAAGATAAGATAAGATCACCTTTATTTGTCCCACACTGGGGAAATTTGCAGAAATTTAATTTTAATAATTAATTAATTAAATTAAAAACCACTATCCTGACCCAACAACAAAGGGTTGGGGGAACAAAACAATCACATCAATTTTTCACATACATTACATTCTTACATTTAAACAAAACATTCAAAGGCGGCAGAAACGTGCTGAAAAAAAAAATCAACATCAACAAGTGCAAGAACTCCTTTTGTCCATTTTTTTTTCAGAAAAATCAACTCACTCAAAATGGTAACATTAATGAGGTACTACTGAGATGGTTTTCATGCACATCATTCCATTCCATGCATGTTTTCGGAATGTGGGAGGAAACCAGAGAATCTGGAGGAAACCCACACAGGCACGGGAAGAACATGCAAGCTCTACATAGGAAGGCCGGAGCCGAAATCGAACCCTGCACCTCTGCACTGTGAGGTCGATGTGCTAACCAGTCGTCCCTCGTGCCGCCTGCATATCATTCCAAATCCACAAAAACATATTAGGCCAACTCACGTTGTAGCATAGGGCAGTGTAAGACCCAGCAAGCACAATTAACACCTCTGTCATCCAGTGGTGATTGTTGGTGTTATATCATCATAATTTCAAACTAGTCAACCCCTGCCGAAAAGCAGTTCTACACCCACAGATTCACACATTCGCAAATAATTTTTCATGTTTTTGATTTTTCCCAGTTTTCACAGGATTATGCAGCCCAGTCCTCCCCATTTTCTCCTTGTGTATTAAACTTTATACTTTTCATATTTTTCGATAATCAAGGGGTCATTTAGAGGGTAATTCTTGCTTTTATTTATACACTAGTGCATCAATGCATCACCGACACCTGTGGGGGTTTTTTGGTTTGTTTTTAATAACACTGTATGATTGTATGGATTGTTATTTTCATAGTGTGTTAGCATGGCTTGGTTCATGAAAAAAAAAAACTTGTTCTTCATCTTCGAGGCTCTGAAAACTGAACTTGGCCATACTTTCTCATCTTTCTCTTGCATCCACCAGTATTTCCCTTGGTACATTAACATACATTATTTCCTGGTCTTTCTCAACTGCGGAAACAATGGCACACAAATATGTTAATACAATATTCATACACCAAAACAGTAAGAGAAAACTCCACAATTTGCTGCATTTTATACAGTACAGAGTGAAAACAGCCACTGCAAATTGCCATTCCACAAGGGGAGTGATCCTAAAGTGTGCCCTCGGTAATGATCAAATTTAACTTAATTCTCACAAAAACCTTTCATTTCCTACAAATAATGCATATCGGGTCATCTATCATGCCAGTGAATATAGTCGAAGGAAGAACAATCAAATGTTCTTCCATTCGATGTTAAAAGGTTAGTGTATCCACTTTAATGACATTTTACATTCTTTGTTTTATGGATAGTGAGATAGATAGACGCGCGCGCGTGTGTGTGTGTGTGTGTGTGTGTGTGTGTGTTTTATATTGAGAGGGAGATTTTTTTTTTAAATCATACTGCATTTGAAATTCATCTTGTTTTTGAACTGAATTTGTTCATCCACCTAATCCACGATGTGCTAATGTAATCACAATTTGCACCTTTTGACCTGCAATTGCTCGCACAGGGTTAAGACATCTTCCTCAAACTCGAGATTGTTGATATGAATCTTGGCTTAAGGCCTTACATGTGGAGTTTGCATGCTCTCACCGTACTTTTGTTGGTTTTACGTCAGTTTTCTCCCACAGTCCGAAATCCTGCAGGCTAGGTTTATTGACAACGCTAAATTGTTTGTAGGTGTGAGTGTGAGTGGCAGTTGTTGTTTGTCTCAATGTGTCCTGTGATTGGTTGGCAACCAGCCCAGGTTGTACCTGCCACTCCCCCAAAGTCACCTGTGACCCTAATGAGAACAAGTGCTAAAGAAAGTGGATGGAACGATGGACAGCCAAAATCAAACCAGGCAGGTTTAATCCATAAACATTTTACCTTCATGCGTTTTGTTCGCTTTTTTCTTCAGAGTGTAGAAGATCACCATACCGGTCATTAAGAGAATGATCACTGCCAAAAAGCTGTTACGGATGTTCAACACTAAACCTGTTTTGTCAAAACACAAACATTTTGAAGGTTATATGTCTTGGGAACAAGTGTCCAGTTAACGAAGTTCACATAAAAACAACCACAAATGTATTCACCCCCCCAAATCGTCAAAAGAGTTCTACAATGATATGCCTTTAGGTCATTCAATGGCAAAATCCCAAACAGGGTGCTGTAGCACATATTGTGCCATGAGAGATGCTCAAGGCCTTTAGTGGTGTACAGGGCTCCTCAGGTCACAACAGAGTTCCGTTCCTAGGTTGCCAATGTAACAGAAATTTGTACATAAAGTCTGCTCTATCTATCAATAACTGACTCTAAATGCAGTAGTCGGGTCATAACTATTTGAATTATTTGTTTGAAACTTCTAGGACCATGAATGTAAAACAAAAAACAGCATCTGTTGCAGTAATTGAGCATTCCATCTTGTGCAAAACCTGAAGTAAAGTGACTCCATTGGAAAAAGTGGCAACAATAAATATACACTCAGGGGCCTAAAATTTAATTGCTATTGTTTTCAAAAACTATCACTTTTTTGAGGTTTGTAGATGCCAAACAATGTTTTTTTTTGGTCCTTTGGGGGGCGGGGGGGGGGGGCGTGTAAAAATGCTCTTGTGTAAATAGTCCCGTACGAAACTAAATAAAGTACTGTTGCAGAATTGGCTTGAGTTTAGGTTGTCGGGATCCCTACTTTGATAGGAGGTGACGGTATGGATTGGTCCATGACACATTGAGTAATTGACAGGCCTCCATTCTGATGTAAGAATCCCGTTTGAACTGCAGTTAACAAACACAAAACCTGAGAGAGAGAGAGAGAGAGAGAGAGAGAGAGATAGAGAGAGAGAGAGAGAGAGAGAGAGAGAGAGAGAGAGAGAGAGAGAGAGAGAGAGAGAGAGAGAAAGAGGAAGAACAAAGAATACTATATTAACAACCACCGATGTTAGCAACAACAGTTTAACATAGGATATCTTAAATAACATTAAAATTACAGCACTCAATGTTAAAGATAAATGACAGACATGGAGCAGGAACGTTTTTGCAGAATAATCCCATTTAATGCCGACAAATATTCTCATTTATCCGGGTCATTTAATTCTCAGAGCAAATGGTTGTTTTAGAGGACGTTTCACCACTCATCTGAGCACTTCATGCAACGAGGCTGCTCGGATGAGAAGCGAAATATTTTCTAAAACAACCAGAATAGGCCACTTGCCATCAATTATATGGCCTGAGAATTCCCTCCGGCATTTCATAGGTATCGCTAGAATTAATGTGTTGTGTATCATTCGTTCCTTCAAGTTGGATTTTACTTATGATGCATATTTTTTTCCCCAAATTTGGGGTTGAACTACAAATTCGACAACAGTACATGTTGGTCATTCCACGTTAAAGGTCCAATTGTATTCTTCATACCGCAAGTAGATATGTAAACTCCTTTCAAATGGCTACTGATGTGATTTCTAGCATAGCAGATCAGCCATCCTGAGACATGCTGTTTCAGGACGATGGTGTTGGCTTGAACATGTCCGGAGAGGAGTTCCATGTCCTCCAGCAGTTGTTGGTTCAGAGTCCAGCTGTATTCAACACTGTCGGCACCCTCGGACACCAGACAAGACACCAACTGCTCGCCTTGGGACAGACACTCAGAGGCCAGATGTACGGATGTGATAGGAGCTGAGAAAAGTTTGACATCCACAAGCAATTATTGTAGATTTTTATATAGGGTTTCTGTAACATTGAAAATATCAAAGGTAGTTACTCACCCTCAACATACAACCACAGTGTCTGAATACCTGCATTTCCATTTCGGGCAAGAAATGAAAAACTGTAGCTGCCACTGTCAGCCCTGCTCAGGTTTTTGATCCACAAAATTCCTCTCGTTGGATAAAAGATGTGTTTGATCTTAGACAAGTCAGACTTTCTAGTCCTTATCTGCCCTGTAGGTATTATGAACTGTTTTGTTGTCGTTATATTCTTGTAATTGGTGGTTTTCCACCACCTAATATATCTGAAGTAGTTTCCATCATTCAGCTGAAGGAAAGTATCTCCTGCCAGTGTTCCGTAACACACAGCTCCATCCTTTCTGCCATCGCAGAATTGGGCCACACCTATTAAAAATACAAAAATAAAAATAAATATCATGACTTTTATCGTAATTAGGGATATTTCTTCGAGGACAGACTGACAGATTTAGTTTTTATCTTTCTCAGCTCAACTGTATTTATAGAGCACTTTAAAACAACCACCTCTGTGTACAAAGTGCTGTACATGGAGCAAAAACAATTAATACAACAAACTATAAAACAACAAATTAATTTTTAAAAAAAGACAGTACAACACAAAAACAGTCAAAAATCAACTGAGTCAAAAGCCAAAGAATAAAAATGATTTTCAAGATGGGTTTTAAAGATGGGGTCAGCGAGCGGGCTTGCCAAACGTTCAGCGGGGGGCCGTTCTAAAGAGGGGGACTAGAAACAGTCAAGGCTCGATCCCGTCTGAGCTTCCGCTTAGTTCTCAGTACCTCGAATAGTGTCTGGTCCGCAGACCTGAGGCACCGGGCATAGAGGTAAGGTGGAGCAAGGCCATTTAAAGATGTGAAAACAAAGAATAGAATCTAGAATGTATAAGGAGCCAGTGAAGGGATGCCAGAGTAGGAGTGATGTGTTCCCTCTTACGAGTGCCAGTCAAGAGGCGAGCAGCATTCTGGACCACCAAGAGACGCCTAATGACTCCAAAGTAAAGTGCATTATTATAATCCAGCCAGGATGTGACAAAGGCATGAATTACTGTTTCAAAGTACTCATGAGAAAGGAGAATTTTGAATTTTGGCCAGCCGCCTAAGATGAAAGAAGCTAGATTTAACAACGGCACCAATTTGCCAGTCCAATTCAAAATCACTGTCCTGTTTAATACCCAAGTTCGAGACTGTTGGCTTAAGATAAGGAGCCAGGGGGCCCAAGTCCGCAGGATCGGATGAACAACGGCCACTGGGACCAAACACCATCACCTCTGTCTTCTTTTCATTGAAATTCAAGAAATTTTGTGCCATCCAGGTCTTGATTTCCTCCAGGCAGAATAAAAGTGGCCTCAATGAGAAAGCGTCTTTCTTGCTCAGCGGGACATACATCTGACAGTCATCCGCATAGGAGTGGAAGGAAATACCATGCTTCCTTAATATAGAACCAAAAGGGAGCAGATACAGTGAGCGCAGCAAAAAAGAATTCTTCTTGGCTTCAACCATCGTCAACCATGATCTCCTTGACCACTGTCCTAACTATCACTGCTTATGAAATGGAAAACAAGCAAATCAAATTATCATATCACATATTGTCAAATAGGTTAATGTGAGGTTTATTTCAACAATCATACACAGTGAATTAAAAAAAGACAAAGAATCAATAGATAAAATGTGAACAGGTTAAAAATGACCGGGCTGAAATAAAGCTTAAAAATAAAGTCAGCCATCCCACAATACCACTGTACATGTAAAATGAAAGATCATTAAATAACTAGACACCTCCATTTTTACAGATCTATGAACCAAATTTAACTTGGCATTTTCCCCAAAATGCAAAGCCAATCCATAGCTGTAAAGGAAAGAGCAAAAGGGTCCAAAACATTTTGAATGACTTCAGTGGCGCATTTTAGGATGTAATGAAACTAAATCTGGTCAGAAAGTCTAGTCGTCCAATGATTCTTAATTTCAATTATGTTTGTTTCTTAATCAACTAAGAACAAATTCCCACTCCTGAAACTGAAAGCTGTGCTTTGCACTGTGCTGCGTTTTCAAACACGACGACAATGTTGCGCAATTTCAAGCAGTTTAGCTTCGGCAGAAATATGCACTCAACTGAGTGCTAATTTACTTTTTACTTAAAAGATGTTGTAGACAATTAGGAGAGTCTCACCTCTCGAAACTGTGACCAGCATCACCAGTAGTCCAGCTGAATTCCTCATGGTCTTCCTCGACTGACGCTCGGGAAATTGTTGAGTGAGCAGTTTCTTTGTATTTCTTTACATTTCATAGGCAGGGAGGGAAAGGAAATTCAACTTCCCGTTTTATTTTTTTCACTTTTTAATCAAGAATAATCTTGACATTCCTAAGGGGCTTTATACATACACAAAGACTTATGTTTAAGTTTAAAAAAGGAGTTTTGTGAATTAGTGGAAAAAAATACAAGGGACAGTAATGGTGGAGTATTTTCCTCTCCTGACTGCCGTGCAGTCAGTTCCCACTCAGTGCCACTGTGAATGTGAGTGTCAGCAGTAACAGCATCTGTTCCGGTATGTGCCTGTGATTGACTGGCAATCACTTCAGGGTGGAGTTTACCCTTTGCCCAAAGTCAGCTGAGAAAGATTCCACCTCCCAGCCCTGCAGTATTCAAAATGATCCATGAATGGAGGCATCTTGTTTTTGTCCCATTAAAGTCAGTTTTATGATGACTTTTCTGGGACAAGCAAACATGTGTCTGATATGGAGCCAATCCACAATCGCTGGAGACCTCCACCAAGCTTATGGGTGGAGCTGCCACAATGATCTGGCCATATCCCAGAACCCATGTGGGTATTTGGAATAAGCTGAAACCTCCACCACACCAGAAACCGCTGAAATTGCTGTCCTTGTGGCACTCCCTTAACTTTGACTGGTGATATGAAATGCATTGGAGGCCCGCACACTCACGGTTCTGCACCTGAAGATTAATTTTCCTGATTTTTTTCTTTTTTTTTTTTTTTAACATTTAATTTTTATTTATTTTTGGGTGGGGAGGGTAGGGGAAGCCAATGGAAAACCCATGTTAAAGGTTATCAGCATTTTTGGAAGAATCTTTTGTGTGTACATTTTTATTTATATACAGTATATTTTTTTATTATTAGTTCTACCAAATGCATTTCTATGGGCATCAATTATACATGAATTTTCACTATTCATGGCTCTCTCCTTTCCTGAGGTCCACTGTGTTTCTTTTGCTACAACCGTCAATTTTTATATGTGCAATCAATTTAAAAAAAAAAACATTGCGTGATGAGTCTTTTTAAATTTTATTTAGACACGATTGTCAAAATTTACTAACATTCTTTATACATAAAATTCACAACATCAATACAACAGAAGTATCATATAGCATTGCCACAATCTGTCTTTCAGAATACATTACTTATAAGAGCAGAATGTATTTTGGTTTGATGAGTGCAGTGCTCTCTTTTGTAAAGTCATAGGTGAAACAATTTAAGGATCACAATAAGACAGAAGTTGATAAGCTTTTCATCTCATAGATTTATAAGTCCAACTATTACATATTTTGCAGAACAAAAATACTGTACACAACTTCATTCTGAATAGTTACACAAACTGAAATGGATATCCTGCACGCTGACACGTAAGTAACACACAGTATTAAAATAAGATACATAATACAACTCCTAATGCATTATTGCACTCAGAATTATATTTACTTATTTAATGCAGTCAGTGATGAAAATTGTCTTGCACATGATCACTGGTTTTCCAGTATTCAACTGCAATCTTTTTTTTCTTGGACTCCCTTGAACCTTGAAAAAAGTCAGAAAACTAAAATGTCATTTTGTCACAATAATTAATTTGTACAATATGTTTGCGACCAAGCCATACCTGACTTCCTCTTTTGCCTTGTTTTCTTGTAAACGTAACAAGACAAGACCACGATTACAAGCAAAGCGGCCAGTGCTGAACAAACTGGAATCAGGATGGAAAAACGGTTTTCTGAAAAGAAGAGGCAGCAAATGTAACAGCAAAATAAAAATTCATAATTCATTTAACTCAAAATAGAGATGAGGATATGATGGGCGAAAATTAAATTAGAAACTGCAAAATAGAGGTTCCACAGGGGTCTTAGGTTTAAATGGATATATGAGGGTCACGGGCGTTTTGGGGCCTATCCTAGCTGTCTTCGGGAGTTGGCGGGGTACACCCTGAACTGGTTGGAAGCCAATCACAGGGATGGTACACACAGACAAACAACCATTCGCACTCACAATCACACCTCGGGAAAATTTAGTGTGTTCCATTAACCGACTGTGTATGTTTTAGGAATGTGTGAGGAAACCAGAGTACCCGGAGAAAAACCACGCAGGCACAGAGAGAACATGCAAACTCCACACAGAAAGGCCAGGGCCCAAAATGGAACCCATGACATCTATCCCTCAAGAATTGAAACGTTCATCATATGTGACATCATGTCAGCAAATATGAGACTTTAATTCAGTCATCATCATAGGATTCATTCTTTATGGGCCACAAAATACAATAAGAACAATACAATTCATTTAATATCAAGTACAGTGAACTCCTGCATATTTTCAACTCACCATTTGCGAATTTGCTTTATATGCAGACCATTTTTTTAAGCTATTTTTTGTTGTTTACAGTAAACTTCCCGATTCGCTTTTTTTGTCTTTTGACCAAATTAGCAGTTTTGCTTCGGGACAATCTGGTCGCATCTTGATGCCAAGGAAATATGTTGAAGTGTACTCTGAAGTTTCATTTCAACAGAAGTAGTAGTATTCAAGTAGTATTAAATAAATAGCTTCTGTAGTTAAATATGAAAGCCGTCATTTGTATCGTTTTTCTCGTGGAAGGAATTTATTATATGGTTATTCAAAAAGCAAGCTTTTAGTGAATTGTATAACATATAATTAACTTTATATTAACTGTAAATAAAAATTGTTGTCTTTAACCTGAAAGTAGCAATAAAAATAAAATGATTGTGCTCAATTCAGAAAAATAGAACTGCCTGCTTTTGTATTGCAACTCTTCATACTTACCCTGAACCTCAAGTTCCACCGTAATAATTTTGACACTGCGCCCATTCGGGTCAAAGACTTCCACTACGTATTGTCCTGAGTCAGTCCTCTCAACACAGGAAATTTTTAAAGTCCCATTGTTCATGAAGAACTGCGTTCTGTTCATGAAGACTTCCTGTATCATTGGCTTTTCTTTTTTCACCGTAAACACAACTATGGGTCCGCTGGGAAGGAGTTTCTTGCATCTCAGCTGATGGCCGCTCACGTCGACCATCAATTGGATGTAGATCGACCCTCCAAGAGTGGCAGAGCAATGAGAGTCCTGTAGGGTGCTGTTGCATTGAGATTCACCCGGAGGAAGGAAAGCTGCAAGTACAAAGTAGGAGCAAAACATTGATACTTACAGTTCATTATTATTGATGCGTTACTCCTGATGAAAACATTACCATTTACTGTGCCGCCAAACAGCAGAAGAAGAATGACAGCATGTCCCATATTCCTGCCTTCTCTCGTATGTTTGATGCGGAGACTTTGAACTATCAGTAATTTCACAGGAAATGGGTAAGTCAAGAAGGAAGGAAGTTGAGTAAAGTCTCTCACTTCTCCTTTGAAGGTTTCTAGCTCTCTGTCGCTGGATTTGAATCAAAGAGCACAGTTTCAAGGTTGTTGCCTGGTACCACCTTCAGCAAACAGTGAACACAACTGGAGAATGGATCACCCTTGGACAAAATTGTATGTTGGAAAAGTCTCTTAAATGTAAAATATGCCTGAATATTAAACGTGAATTAAAATACAGAAGGTGAATATGAAACTTATTTGAGTACCTTGAAAGTTGAAAGATGTTTTACAAGCGAAAGTATTTTTGTGATATCCGCTGTGGTGGTGTTTTCAAAATGTCCATGCGAAATAATGCTGGAGATGTCATTTTTACTCAGCAATCATGACTTGAAGTAGTCTATATCAGGGGTCACCAACCTTTTTGAGAGTGAGAGCTACTTCATGTGTCCTGATTGTGTGAAGGGCTACCAAATTGACACACGTCTCAAATAACATTTACACAAATTACATTTAATAATATTAGAATGTGTTATTTTTAATACTTAATGATTTTAATTTTCAGGCTCTGATCATCGTAAAAGATGTCTCACAATATTGCCAGTGTTTGCATTTTTAAATCATAATTTCTACAAGCAAATCACAATCCTAGCACTGGCGGGCTATTGGTGTGGTCCTCACGGGCTACCTGGTGCCCGCAGGCACCACGTTGGTGACCCCTGGTCTATATGTTCGCATTCAAACATTGTAGCCTCATAAACATGACTGCTGTGTATATTCAACAACGCTTATCCTGAACAGGGTCGCAGTGGGTGCTGGAGCCTGTCCCAGCTGACTTGGGGCAGAAGTCCAACTCCACCCTGAACTGGTTTCCAGCCAATCACAGGGCACACATTGACGAACAACTATTCACGCTCATACTCACGCATAGGGACAATTTAGAGTGTTCCATTAACCTGCCGCATATTTTTGGAATGTGTGAGGAAACCGGAGTTGCCGGAGAAAACCCACGCAGGCACGGGGAGAGCATGCAAACTCCACACAGGCAGGCTGGACCCGGAATCGAACCCTGCACCTCTGCACCGTGAGGCAAACGTGCTAACCAGTCGGCAAACGTGCTAACCAGTCGTCCACCGTGCTGCCAGCCTTCTTATTATATTATATGTTCCCTACAGAAGAAAAGGTGTTATAGTGGAGCCCATTATATGGTGCCATATAGTACATTATATGGTGCCATAGAGTACTATGTGTTTTAATTTGTTTGTTTTTATACATCAGCTACGTTTCCTCACGTAATGACAATTATATTCAAGGTTCTTTGTGTCATTAAAATACTTTGCCTATGCAAAATCTCAATCTACTTGACAATTATACATTCCTCAGCCTCTTGTTTGACATTTTTGGCAGTGCCATTGTGATTATTTTCACTGTTGTTGACATCATATAACGAAGCTGCTAAAGAGGTGCGGGAAATGGACTGTTTTAAAACACACAAGGTAAGCACATTCTTAAAGTTTGCTTTATTATACACTGGATTCATCACATTTATGCATAATGAGTTACATTTGTTGCAAGCCTTTTTGTTCACAACACTGACTAAATACATACATTGTTCCAGTTATCTTGTAATTGTTATTACCGGTATGAGTTTTCTTATGCATAGTATGTTTTGACCTTCATTATTTTGAGACACATTCTTAATGCCACTAAATGTGTTAAATTGTTTTACCTTTCTAGATCTTTGAAAACATTGTGTCGTTTCGCTGTTTTAGAATGGTATTTCTGTAGATTTGTCACAATATAGATGAGTGAACATATTCACTACATTCATGCATTGAGAAACAAACATGCTAACCTTCTTTTGGCAAAAGCAACATGAAAATCAATGTGTAATTAACTTGGTAATTTAGCGCACACATTGCTCATGTCCGTCAGTATTCCTTTCATAGATCGATTGATGCACATTTACCTGAAAGGAAAACGAACAATTGTGAGGTAGCAGAGTCTTCCCATACAGTGAAAGGGCTGCAGTACAAATTAGAGTCTACAGCCAAAACACACACAACACTTTAAATAAAATCTATAATGCAACGTTAAATATATTATGATCAACTGAATGTCATCACAATTAGGCATAGGTGTCAAACTCAGGTCCTGAAGGGCCGCTGTCCTGCATGTTTTCCAAGTCTGCCTGTTGCAACACACCTGATTCAAATGAACAGGTTCAATGTCAGGCTTCCGCAGAGCTTGCTGATGATCTGATCATTTGAATCAGTTGTGTTGCAACAGGGAGACTTGGAAAACATGCCGGACAGCGGCCCTCTCGGACCTGAGTTTAACACCTATGCAATAAGGCAATGAGCCTGGCTCTGACCAACAGGAACATCATCTGTATGATGTGTGGACAATTCAGAATGTGAAATAGTTGTGTCAAATGTACATAACATAATATTTAATCCTAAAGAAGAAGGAAAAAAAGTTGGAATCCAGACTTGCATCACTCTTCCAATAAGACAAAAATGTGTCTTTCTTAACACCGTGGCGGCACTTGGTGCCATGGAATTATGTTGAAGTGAGTTGAGGAGCCTCATTTAAAAAAAAACAAGAGTCTTGCGACCATGACATGGCTCATTGGTGTCAAAGAACTATGTTGAAGTCAATTGAGTAGTTTCATTTAGACAAAGGTAGAGTTTTGCTGCAATTTTCTGGCATGTATAGCCAATTATGAACATTTTTGGGGGGTGGAGGGGAGTCAATAATTAATTGCAGATTCTCAATATTCACACCAGGCCCTTCCTCCTTGAACATTTAATCTGTGATATCCATGTGTTTTAAGATTATATATTCATATCCTGTTTGACATGATCCTAGTGTTGAGTCTCTTGAAAAACGATCTGCTATAAGACAGTTTAAGCTTCTTCTTCCAGTCCATATTCTTCTTCGGATAAAAGGTGCCCCAGCTGTGCTCTTCCTCGTCTCCCACCCATGGAACCCAGGCACCGCCATTCAGGCTGGGCTCAGCCCGCGGGTCCTCTGATGGGTAGCGCACTGGGACGGCGGTACGGTTGTAGTACACCAGTCTCGCCATCAACTCTTTGACAACATCTGGTCTCTGTTCAGAGAGGTCAAAACGTTCATAGGGGTCTCCAGAGATGTTGAAAAGCCATACCGATTTCTTGGGTTCAATGTGCCTCTCAAGGTTCCACCAGCTGCCAGGGAAGCTCGGAAGCACCTGCAGCGGTGTCCAGTCTCCGTAACCAGGATCTCCGGTCAGCAATTTCCAGTCTCCAGCTCGGATTGAGGCCTGCACGGCTGTATTCCAAATCCCATATCCCTTCTGCAGGGATCCGCTCCGAGCACGGTTATAGAGAGGGTCAATGTTGTGTAGGATCTCCAATCTGGGAGACTCCTTCCCTTCACTGATGGCTTCCCAAACATCAAATCCATCCACGCTCTTAGTAAGGGACTCATTGCCACCTGCCAGGTGTACTAGTGTGGGGTACCAGTCAGTGATGTGGACCAAGGCTTTACTCACCCTCTTCTTCCTCCTTAACAGAGGACTGTGCACAAATCCCAAGCCTCGGATGCCACCTTCCCAGTAGGTGCCTTTACGCCCCCGAAGTGGCCAATTGTTGCCACCAGAGAGTGGTTGTCCCCCATTGTCCGTAGAAAAGATGATGACGCTGTTTTGATAGTAGCCGTATTTACGGAGGGCATATGTTATATTCCGAACAGCCTCATCCACCACAGAAACCATGGCAGCATACTTCCTGCGAGCCACATTGCCCAGCCCTCGGTACGGATAGATGTACTCTCGTGGGGACTGCAAGGGTGTGTGAACAGCTTGAAAGGAAAGGTAGATAAAGAGTGGCTGAGTGTGGGGATCGTGTCTTGCCAGGATTTTGCGGACCCTCTGTGTGTATAAATGGGTGGAGTATTTCCCCCTCTCACGCCAGGCTACTGTCTCGCCTTCGTGGAGGTCATAACCACACAGGCCCGGACCGTCACAGGAGTTGTAGGTGTAGTAGTTGACACTACCAGTCAGGGAGCCAAAATATGTGTCAAAGCCACGTCGTGTTGGCAGGCACTCCTTCTTGTAAAAGCCCAGGTGCCACTTGCCCACCATGTGGGTAGAGTACCCGAGCTCCTGCAGCCTCTGAGGGAGGGTGACATGGTGAAAGGGGAGACAGTTGGGCTGGCGGGGGCGGATGATGGAGTGCTGGAGACCTGTGTGAATCTGGTACCTGCAGAACAACCACGCAACACTGTCAGGTGGATAAGGGTGTTCCAGTATTGGTTTGACCAAATGTCCTCATTTTCTCCTTGACATGTCCTCCATTTGCAAATTGTCATATCTCACTTGTTCGTCATACAAACGTTAAATAACTACACCTGTTGACTTCTTCATAGAAACACCTAGCCTTGATTATTTTGGGCCAAACTGGTGGCGATAAAGAAATAAAAGTATTGTCCTAAAGCCATCCTCATAGCGTAGGTTATGGTGAAGCACACAAATGTTTTTATGAACTGACTTTTTAAATTTGACCTATGGCCATGTTGCTGCGATTGGCTGGCAACCAGCATGCCCGCGACCCTCATGAGGATAAAGCAGTTCAGACAATGGATGTATGGATGGCCATATTATTCCTGTTGTTTGTTCAAAAGAAAATTACAGTATTTTACATTTATGATACACATTACCTTCCATCACATGCAACTCATACTCTGCTTTATACTGTATGTGTGTTGCACAAATCACACACAAGCAGGCATGCAATGCAAGACGTCAAAGTAAAAGGAGTTCAAGCAGGGGTGGGTTTCCTGCTTTGCTCATCGTTCCAAAACTCTTTACAGATGAGCTAAAGTGACACGTACAGGTAAATAAAATAAAATAAAATTATATTGTTATTGTGCAGCCAGAAGACATGAGGTTTTATTTTACTCTTTCAAAGACACAAATACGAACCTAGCAACATGATGACACCTGACAAGACGAGAGTAACATGAATAAAACATTTTGCTGTTCTTCAAAATTGAACGTCACCAACATAATCTACCTTGACTTTGAAATCGAGATACCAGTCGTTACCTGTCAGAGTTTTAGTATTTTAGAATAACATTGAATGATTTAAAACAATCTTGCGGTGCAAAACACATCTGGGAAAGTATTCAAACACTTATAAAATAAGTCTGCATGTTAACTCATTTGTGTTTAAGATTTGGTTCACAAAAAACAAATGTTACATTGCCATTAAACCCATTTTTTCCTGAGTAGATTATTCAAAATGTGGAAAAGTTGTGCAGACTGCACTATGAGAGAGCTACTGTACCTCCCAGTGATGAGTTGGCTTCGGGACGGCGTGCATATGGGCTGGATGTAATAATTCTCCAGCTTCACCCCATCGGCAGCCAGCTTATCTAGCACTGGTGTCTTTATGTCAGAGCTGTGATAGCCGATATCGTTGAATCCCTGATCATCTGTCATGATGAAGATTATGTGAGGAGGCTTTGAACCAAGAGACCCTCTGCCAGAAGTCTGACCAGGATCTTTTTCGACCTGATTCGGACCATTCAGATCCCAGGTCAGATATCCGAGACTGAGAAGACTCATCATGGAGAATCCCGTTAGGGCCGTTGTAGCCATTGTTATTCGTCTAAAGGCCGAACAATCCGGTCTCTGGCGTGATGTCACCAAAGCATCTTGCAGTTGCTAAAAAAAAAAAGAAAAAAGAAAAAAAATTGCTACCATGCTCTGATGTCTCAAATTTGCACGCTTGATTGGAAAGTTTGTGAGCCTCAGCCACACTTTCATCCGAGTTCATTGCCACTCCAAAAATGTTTAAAAGCACCTTGGAAAACATTTTCCTTCCCCTAGTGGTCCAGTTAACACCGCCCATTTACCTCTCAGCTTGGTTGAAAAAACATCAGCTTCCTACCACCTTTAAAAACACACAGAGTAATGTTTCTACTAAAGCCAAGTGGCACTCATGAATGTAGATCACATTCCAGCTCTGAGAGTTCAACGTTCTTGTAAACAGGCAGGAGGTGGTTGAATGTATTTAGAAGTTCAAGTTCAAGTATTTGGCCCGCATCTCTTGATCGAGTCGTTAATTATTCTGGAATTGATCTAGACACCGTGGTCAAATCGATCCTTACAAATACATGGGAAGTGTTTGGGGAAGGCCCTTCTCTGTTCCAACATGACAAGTTCCAAGAGGCATGCTTGGATGAGTTAGCTGTAGAATAACAATGAGCTCTCACCAAAAGCTTATCAGAAGCGAGCACCATATTTCCTTTACAATGTACTTTATAAGTTGGTCCATTTAATATGTAATCACATCTAATCAGAACCACCATCCCCACATTCCATGGCATGAAACATGATCCCAGTGGCTCACATTTACATCTTGACACATGACTAGAAAGCAAAGAAAAACACTCCATGGGACTTGGGATCACAGACAGACCCACAGTCAGAAAACGTAGCGTGCGGGGAAGACTTGAGTTGTGGGGCCCTGTTCCACACTCAGAAACTTTCACAAACATTCCCTTAATATTGCTGCTGTTTCATGACGAATGCAGAGTTACGAGGAAAGAGGCAGACCCGGACTCAGATAACATTTCCAAGCAGGCGTAAAAGACTCGCTTTACAAATCATCCAACAAGCCCCTGTTGCCTCGTGTCAAGGATTGCTGACCGTGGAGTGTTAACACAGCGATATGGAAGGAAGAAAGATGTTACGTTTGGTATCAGTTGTCAGGAAAAATTCTCAATTACAAGCCATTGTTGCAAATTGCGTAAGAGAAAACATTTCAGGTGTGGCAAAATTAGCAGTTTAGTAAAGAAAACAAGTGCGATAAACTGAAAAATATCAAGAGGCCTGGGGAAATCACAGATGATAAATGTTGGAAAAAATATAGGCCTCTGCAGTTAGAAATGGATTCATTGTTATTTATAACCTCTTAGAATGTTTTGTTTGAGTGTGAAGATAAGAAAGTAAACCGAGTTCCTCTCTCTCTGATCTTGTGTTATGACTTTGCTGTGAGACAAAAAGCAAGATGTCTGCGGCTTGTATGAGTCAGATGAAAACTGCTTGTTCATGTGTGGATATACACTATGAGAGGAAACAGCCAGACACTTCTATAGTCATCAGATTTTATTTCAACTGTCCCCTTGCATGCATGTTTTTTTTCCATTGGTATCTCATTCTCAAAACGCTTGTCTTGTGATGATAAAAGAACAGCTTATGATCCAAAGTTCAATCACATCTTCATAGACATGTATGGCGTCTAAGGCAACATGTTCACCGTATCTCACTGTACTGTACACTGTAGCTTTCACAAAGGTTTTGAACTCTGTAGTCTAAATGCTACCGCTGAGGAGCCTTGTGATGCTGAGGTTTGCAGATTAAAATAAGATCCGCAAAATTCTGTGCAAACATCTCAGAGCAACATATCTTACCTTGCTCGTGTTGATGTTGGCAGCAGGAAGACTTGTGAGTATGAAGACTGTTGGGTAACTAATGAGCCTCCCATAAAGGGCAAGATGTTTTCCGGGCAGGGGAGGGATCCCTGGTACAAGCAATGTGCCAGCGAGAGAGGCAGAATTTAAAGCAGGTCAGAGTGAGAAAGGGGTGCACTTGAAGTTTTAACTTCCTTGTGTAAGTTTGGAGGTTTGGAGACTAAGGAGCTTGGACAGGTAAAAACCTACTGTCCTGGCCTCAAAGATACAAAGTGTCATATTTGCCATAGAATATCAGACTCAGATAAGAACACAAGCCAGTGAGTAGGATTTCTGGTGAGTCTTCACATCAATGGGCACCAATGACTCAATGTAAGAGGACCACCCCACAAACCTCCCCCAAAAAACAACCGACTCATCCACACCATCAAAATGACCAAACACTGACCAAAACTTACTGGAAGCTACCCTTCACCAGTTAATCACCATCGTACGATCATTTCCTGTGCTTTGTTTTCTAAGAATGCAATGCTAGAAGAAAATCCATCAATCCATTTTCTAATCCACTTATCCTCAAAAGGGTCACAGGGGCTGCAATGTGTCGGTCACCAGCAGATGTTTGGTTTTGGCTGAAGGAAGAGGCACTGTTACTGAATATGGCTGCTCCCCCTTCAGCATGAACACTGCTTCCTTTCTCATCAGCACAGCCCTGCCAGGAAACCTGCACCTATTACCCAACCTCTTCCCCCAATTTTCTAATCTGAGGACTGAATGGATGTTTTCGCTATTCCTGTGTGCCATATGTTTGTGATGGTCGGGGACCCAAAAAGCAGGGCAACAGGAGAAGCAGGGTGTACTGAACAAAATGCATGAACAAAAACCACATACAGGGGTACATTGGAAAAACTAAATCAAAAACACAAAGTCCTGAAAACCATAAGAAACCAAAGTAACAAACATAAACCTAGGACAGAAACACAAAACAACGTGACAGCAACGCAAACAAAAAACTATGACACTAACACAAAACAACATGACAGCAAAATGACTTGATGGGTGAACAGGCACGCCAGAGACTCGGCTGTTTATAGCAATTATTTTTTGTCTTTGTTTATAATACATCCCTTAAAATAACTATTAATAATAAATTGTCAATAATAAAGCTTGGTTTCATTGAAACCATGAGAGAGGCATAATTAAACATAGTTGTTGCTTGTAGAGGTGTGGAACTGCACGGCTGATATTTGACTTAACTTATGAGTGTGGCAAAATATTAAAAGCGCCTCTCTGTCATGTGTTACATTAAAAATGTCTGGAAATCACACACCTCAAGACATAGGCTTTGCTTGTGAATGTTTCCTGTTTGGAAGAGAAAGTAGATACTGTATATTGCCTGAAAAGAGAACAAAGTGCCATTTACAAGAGTGACCACTCACATTTCCTGCATTTCGTTGAAGGGCAAAGCTTGATTTTTTTTTTTTTACGTGCTCAAGGAAATTTTTCACAGACCTCTAAGGTTCTCCGAAAATATTCCTCCACTTGATGCTTATAGTAACACAAAGACATTGCGGTTATTTTTCTTCCATAAAAGCTGGATGTCTTCTCTCTCTCCGAAGATGCCATATTTTTGACTAGGGTCGACCGATTTTGAAAAAGAATCTAAGTGGGACTTTTTTGTGGTGACTTCCAATTCATTTTGCTATGCCGGGTCACATTTATCATCTTTTTTTAGTTTTTTTTTTTTTTTTTTTCCGCAGCCTTTAAAATTTGAAAATTACATTCTACCACATTTTGAGGTCAATTTGAATTGGATTCATTGTTCAACCCTATTTAGACACATCTGAGCTATGGTGGAATATATTCTCTAACATTATAGTAGAAAAAGCCAATATTTTGCTCTCGATTAATATTACAGTGCAACCTCTGTTTTAGCATGCCCCAATATTCTGCAATATTTTTTGTTTGTTTAAATTTTGTCCCTGTTTTTATATATCTGCTCAGTTTTTGTGCAGTTTAAAATTGTCCTGACAATACTTATATGCATGTCTGAGACGCTACCATTCTTTTATGAACTCAAAGTACCCTCAAAAAGCATCTCATGCACATTCTTTATGAAGTGTTTTCTTGTACAGTTGAGTACATGCATCATTGACATTTTAGCCATTTTGTATGCTGCCGGTCTTTCGCCTCTTCAGACATACTTGTCTCACTGTTTCCACTGTCTATATTTATTTTGACTTAATATTTTGCCAGATTTAACTATGCTTAGATGTTGTGTTACAGGATGCAGCACCTCCTCACTTGAGTGAGCAACACTGAGTGTCACCTTGTGCCTTCATTGAAAGCATTTTGGGGTTTTTTTTGTTCTTATTCATAGTGCTTATTCAGTCCATTTGCTCCTTTAGCCATCTTCAGGCCCAAAACCCACTGGCCCTTTAATAAAGAAGATGATAAAAACCAAATAATTCAAGAAAGAACTCATAACAAGACCTCTCAAGAGTTTTATTAAAGTGATTTAATGATGGTTGTTTAATGTTTGTTTATTTATTTATTTTTACATTTTATTATCTGAATTTATTTCACATTTTTTTGTTTCTGTACTTATTCTCTGTAAAATTGATTTCTTGTTAATTTTGGTGAGTCGTGTGGAAAGGATTATTTGGATTTACAATTATTTCCAATGGGAATTATTGTTTTGATTTTAGTACAATTTGGTCCAATCACAAAATCTAGGAAACCAAGGTTCCCTTCCCACCATGTCATCATTCTCTTCAAATTCACCGTGTGTCCTTCTCGAATGTTATTTTTAACATTTTTCGAAAATTCACCCAACTAAGATACCATGTAGCATCCATTTTGTTACTTTAATTTTTTTTTTTTAAGATCAATCTTTGTTCTGTGCGTTTTATTTTTAATTTCATAGCTTTTACTCCAAGATCCTCATTTTTACATAATCAACAAATTCACATCTCATAATATTTTGCTTTTATAATTACTCCAAATTTCCCATGTAAATATTTAGATTAGAGTTTATAGTTGAGATTTTGTCTATTTCTTTGAACTGATGCTTAACTTTTAATCCTTTTAATCCGTGCTCAGGACCTCAGACTGGAGCAAAGGTTTACCTTCCAACACGCCAACGACCGACCACAAGCACACAGGCAAGACAACAAAGGAGTGGCTTCAGGACAACTCTGAAATGTCCTCCAATGGCCCAGCCAGACTACACTTGAATCTGATCGAACATCTCTGGAGATATCTGAAAATGTGCACCGACATTCCCCATCCATCCTGATGGATTTGAAGAGGTGCTGCAAAAAGGAATGCGCGAGACTTCCCAAAGATAATCATGCCAAGCTTGTGGCATCATATTCAAAAAGACTTGAGGCTGTAATTACTCCCAAATGTGCTGTAACAAAGCACTGAGCAAAGGCTGTGAATACTTTTCGACAGACTGTCTTGGTGCCAAAACGTTTTTCACATTGATGTATTGGGGTGCTTTGTGTCGAATTGTAAGGGGGAGGGAATCATTTATTCAATTTTCGGGTTGTGGCCGTAACACAATAAGTGTGGAAAAATTTAATGCTGTGAATACTTTCGAGATGCACTATGGAATCTTCCCATTCTTCGTCGTTCATTTTCAATGTTCTGACTCAATGTACGATTTAATCTGCATCCAAACCTGCACTTTTGCACATCATCAACGGGTCTGTGTGCAATCCATTGACGATCCGATCCAGCCATCAAATTATGATTTTGTATAGCAAATGCAAGCAGATCGTCTCGATGCAGGAACAAGGTGCACGAGTGCAGACAGCACAATACATCCCATGATGCACTGCGGCGGAAGTACAACTGCATCCTGGGTTCAAAGTTGAAGTTGAATACGGTACACGCGTGATAGTTAACAGAGACTTCTTGTAGTTGTTGCCCAGGTCTAATCATTATGCCAGAAAACGTGCATTTACTCGTCTGTTTACTGTTTTCTGTTGTGAGGAGAACATGTCTGTGAACACGTTCCATCACGAGCTGATCGTGCTCATTTTTCGCTATTTAAAGGAGAATGGCTTCCACTCGGCTGCAGAGGAGCTCCTGAGACACAGCCCACAGGTACACACCATCAAGCAAAATAAAGGGCCAGGGAACGGAGAGTTATATTTATGTATCTCAGTGTGTGTGGAACGTGTTCCTCGGAAATCGTTTTTTATTTCTTCTTTGCAGGAGCAGCAAGTAACGTTTGAAGGCTATCTGTACTTGCCTTACTTTATTTATTTTTCTGACGACTTTTTACTTTTACTCCTGCCGTTTTAAAAGGAGGCAGCTGTGCTTTCTACTACTTTGTCAAAAATAGCTTTCTTGTAGTTCCATTTTCAGTTCCTCGCTTACGATCTAAATTTTTTGAGTTCTTATAAAATGAAAAAAAAAAACAGGTTCAGTCGCGCCACGAAGGTGCCAAGGGGCATGAATGACAATGATACAACAGTTAAAGAGGCAATATATTTCCTAAAAATGACCTGTTCTTGGCTGCAAGAGTGAACCTAAAAACGAATCTTCTGACGCTCAAAAATTCTCCTACTCTGGGGAGGGGGGCGGCGGCACGGTGTAGACTGTTGAGCACATCTGCCTCACAGTGCTGAGGTGCAGGGTTTGATTCCAGGCCCCGGACTTCCTGTGTGGAGTTTGCATGTTCTCCTCTCCCCTTGCCTGCTTGCGTGTTCTTGTATATGTTCTCTCATCATCTGTGGAGGTTGAAAAAAACGAACAATTTTTACAAAGTAGGTAGTAGAAAGTGCAGATATCTGTTTTCATTGTCGGAAGTATAAGTAGAATAAGGGTCATAAAAATACAGATAGTACAGATACATGAAAATATCACGGTTTTGATGTGTTTGTGTGGTGTTACATTCCACCACTGCAACATTGGTCACCACATGCATGTGAAAATATGATCTTATGCATTTATAAATGTGTACACAAAACTCTTGAAATAACTGATGGCCCCGAAGGTGACATACTGGTTAAGAAATGTGTGTACACAGTTTTGTGGATATTCATGGAAGTCACTAATTTGACTGTATGAGCAAAAAAAAAAAAAATTTTTTTTCCAACATGGGAGTCAAAACAGTCTTTGACTTTATTACAGGAATTTGTGGTGGGTGCGACAGGTATATCTTCATCATTAGTGGAAATCTACAGTTCCTGGTTAAAGTGAGTATAGTGTGGAAACCAAGCACATTTGTATTTTGTTAACAAATGCTTTGGTGAATAATAATTTTCACTTTCTGTCAGGCACTCAAAGAACAAGTACTCAAGTTCTAATGGAGGAGGATCAATTCAAATTAAAGGTATGATTAAACAACATTTACACTAAAAGGGAACTCGAAAGTCAAAACGGTTCTTTGCAATACTACTAAGTGCCACCACCAAGGTCGACTGGTTAGTGCGTTGGCCTCACAGTGCAAAAAACAATTTTGCTCACAAAATTAAATAAATGCGTTACAAAAACTGAAATTACATTTTACGTTTATTAAACTAACTAAGCCTACCTATCATTACAGCAAAAATCTCCTTTGTTTTTGTCTTTAGGAATTAGCTTAATACGAGTCTTTGGGCTTGATTTTAAATGCATTTATTTTTATACTACTGCACAGCCATGAGCCAGAAGAAGAGAAGGTCTAACAGTGGTCTGGGAGTTTTAGTCCTCCTAATGTGTGTCACACAGAAGCGATGTCATCAAACATCAGCCAATAAAAAAAAAAAAAAGTCACCAGATGACATCGCTCCCAGGAGAAAAGGTTGCGTCTGGTTTTGGCTCGAATGGCTCCCATGCTTTTGTCATTTAACTATAACAAAATGCTAGGTAAGGAGTACTTTCTTTTTTTCCAAGTATTGTAAAGAAAAACGAGACAGTATGCACAAAATAGTACACTATACCACTGAGTCAAATAATTCTCAACAAGAATTGAAGCCGCAAATCCATTTTAGAAATTGGCACCTTGGCAAACAAGACATCCTAGCTTTATTTACAAAGTAATTAGGATGCGTGCATGCATCTAACTTTAGAAGCTATATTATGCAATGCACTCATTTTAATTCAAAGTCTGTGGACTGTACCTTGTATTATGAAAATGTTTTAAAATATGTTTTATTTACCACACAATACTTAATATGGTGGTTTTTTTTTCACAAAACTATAGGAACCTTGGCACCCACGAATTAAGACACAGCATTCAGATTAATATTGTGTTCGTTTAGTAAAAATTAAGCAGATTATTACCCCCCCCCCCCCCACATACACACACACACACACACACCCGTTTTCATCTCAGAACGATGATATTTTGTCTAGCACTGCCGCCTGCTGTTGAGTGTCATTGACGTGTCATTGGACTCCCATTTCAAATGTCTCATGCTCACTTCTTTCCTGGTTTTGGTCACGTTTACAATACGTACCTACATCAATTTCAGTCGACAGCAGGGGCCGGTGCTCGATATAATGTCAGCCCCCTAAATTGAATGAAAGATTAACAAATACATCTATTTATGTAGCGCTTTAAATATCAGTCAGAATATCCTGTTTCGAGTTGTGTAGAACAGATTGCAAAGAACGGTTTTGACTGGAATTCCCCTTTAAATGGGCCGGGGAATGTTACAGTGTTATAGAGAGGGCACATTATTTTTTCTCCAATCATTTGCCTCTTTTACTATGGTCAGATGATACAGGTTTGACAGATGTGATGAAAAGGGACTTTTTTTTCTTTTTTCAAACTCTTTAAATAAACATCCAGGTCAGCTGTAAAGGTGGTGGTCTGCACCTTATGGCAAAGGTACAGTCAGCACTATTGCTGTGTACCGATACATCAGGGATGCACCACTACCACGTTTTCAGCAGTCTTCCCCATGATTCTGAAGCCTACCAAACCAATCGGAGACCATTTAAAGGCTCAGGAAAACCTCTGCAGGTGTTTTGCATTGATTAGCTGCCAAATTTGGGACAAAAAGAGCCTACTCTGTTGAAATTTGTGGAACTTTTTTGTGCGTGCGTCTTTCTGGAGCATAAAACTGACAGGACAACTGAAGTGATCTTTTATTACACTGTTGCTTACCTTTCTGTACTTATCTCACCGCGTCGCCCGCCCCAGGGGAAAATTACCATCCATGTTTTAGAGCATAAATTGCGGTCTGCTCACAATGTGTTGTCATTCGTTATTATCCTGTACCTTAAAGCCTTTCCGCATGGCTGATGTGGCTCCTACCCAGAAGCTATTTATCATGCTGGTGAAGTAGTATTGGTGTTAAAGCATGGAAACTTTTTTTTTTCACTATGAGAACAGGTATATAGTGTACATAATGATGAAGATAATTGCTACGCATTTTGTTGTACTACTATATTCTTCTTTGGGTCCTGATAACCCAGCTGCTTCCAAAAAGGACACATCTGCAAAGAAAACACAAAAACGAAAGGTGAGTTTCCACTTCTCTCTTGAAAAATACTAACTGCTTACTAAACTACTAGACCAGAGTGATTACATTTTATATTTACAGTTGGTAATACCAAAAGACGAGAAAAATGATGGCAACTTGCCCCAAACCATCACACCGGCAAAGTTGAAGAAGCAACAAAATCCTGTGGCTGCTGGTGAAAGTGATTCTGACTCTGACAGCAGTTTGGATGTTGACAAATGGAAGAAAATGTTGGTACAAATGACAGGTAGGTGTGTATGCTTACAGGTACCGTGTGTGTTGTACAAGAGACAACATTTTTGGGTGTGTGACATAACCCACTTCAGTCTCTAATGTTTCTGCCAATCAAATACCCTCACAATGGTCAAGAAAGGCAAAAGTTACGTGATTACCCTCTGATGCACATTTAACCCTTAAAAAAAGCATGCATGCCCTACTTAGTTTCGTTTCACTTGCATGGTGACCAAATCAACTTTTATTCCCCCCCCCCCCCCCCACAAACAACACAAACATCACAAAAAAACAGACAACTTCACTGTAAAAGCAATAAGTGACTGAACAAGAAAATTCACGACCACATGTCAGAACATCCCTCTAAAGCAGTGGTTCTTCACCTTTTTAGAGGTACCGAACCCAACCAGTTTATATGCACATTCACCGAACCCTTTATGAGTGAAAAATAAATATGGATTTTTTTTTACAAATTCAAGATATTAAAAAAACACATTTATTAAAAACAGAAAAAAGTAAATAAAAATTCAAGAGATAAGTATACTTTTTATATTTTTATTTTTTAATTGAACGACGTACTACCACGGCAGTCACATGTTGACTATGAAGCGAACTAAATTTCCCACAGCACTGATTGGACAAGCAATGTCATGTGATCATCTGCAGCCAGTGATGGCCAAGCGGGCGTGTCATAACCAATTAACATGTTGAGTCGGGTGTGTCTTATCCTCCATGGCAGAGGCTCCGTTGAACCCCTGAGACCGACTCACCTGGGATCGAACCCAGGTTAAGAACCACTGCTCTGAAGTCAAATTGAAATGGATCACGAATCTTTCTGCTATTTGTCTGCATCCGCCTTACTTTATTGAAATGATTGCTGAGGAAACAGTTCATTATGACAAGAAAGAAGTGTATGAAACTGTTTGGCCTTACTTGAAAGGGAGACGCTGTTAAAAATAGGATTCTGTTCAATTTTAGGTTAACGGTTAATATTCTGGAGAATGATCAGCCACTCTTAATAGTTTGGTTACCCCAATTAGAAATGTCTCATCATGCAAAATTAACTTATTAATACTTGTTACAAAAATATGAACTGGTACAGTGTAGTCACTGCCAAGTGTGATAGTTTTTTTTTTTTTGTTTTTTTTTTTTAGATATACAGGGTGTCCATAAAGTCGCTTTACCATTTCAAAAATTTATTAAAAATGCAATTGATTAGATATTTTATTCAGATTTGTTCTATTTTATTCAGTGTTTATTGAAGTTTTTTTTTTTTATTTTATCACACTGCATTTGTGTGTTTCCGGGATCCTGTTTGTGAAAGAGGTAATGTTGAATAAACCCCTACAAAATGGCTAGCCCTCATGAGAAGGCGCAATGTGTCTCATGGTTTATTGAAACAAAATCGGATAGGCAGACTCAGCTATGGGGCTATGTTAAAGATATCGTGTATCGAACAAAGATAAGGGACATTACTGACCTAAAGCAAAGGATTACTGATGCCATTGCCACAATTGATGAGGCTATGCTACAGTGAACATGGCAATTTGAGGAAATCAAGTACCGTCTTGATGTGCTTCGTGCAACTCATGGTGCCCATGTAGAAGTGTATTAAAAGAGGTAAAAAAAACCTTTAAAAAACGCTGAATGCAATAGAACAAATCTGAATAAAAGATCTAATCAATTGCATTTTTAATAAATTTTTGAAATGGTAAAGAGACTTTATGGACATCCTGTACTTCTCTTGTCCACAGAGGTTGACGTAGCGAAGATGGATAGCATCAATGCCCTGGACTCAGCTACACCCAAACCTGTGAAAAAGAAGCCCAGGAAAAGTCAAGCAAAGCCTAAAGCTGATGTGCCTTTTAAAAAGCCCACTGCAAAAAAGAGCGACTTATTGGCGAAAGCAGTGGCGGAGAAACAAGCAAAGTCAAGTACCCCCAAAAAGACTACTCGAAGAACCGGCTCTGCACCTGAGACGCCCTTGGCCACTTTGAATGGCACGCAACATTTGATGTCATCCGATGAAGGGAGAACATCAGTATCCAAAGAGACACAAAAGAAGGAAAAGAAAAAAGTCAGAACTCCCACTGTGGAAAAGGCTAAAGCTCTAAAGCTCCAACACAAGAAGAAGAAAAAGGAGAGTTCTGAAAGCCAAGTGGGAGAGACTACACGGGAAAACGCCAGCGAGGCAAAAGATATGAAACCGGAATGTATGGGAACACCTGTGGAATATATAGCAAACTGCAGTACTCAATCCCAAGATGAGCGGATAGCGCCGGTCAACACAACTGGGAGTGCTGAAGAAGTAAAAAGAAAAGAAAAGAAAGCCACGAAAAGGGAGAAGGGGGCTGCTGATATTTCCGAGACCCTTGGAAAAGACAAGAAATCCAAGAAGAGAGACAGTAATAAAGAGAGAATTTCTGAGATTGTTGACAGTGTGAAGGGTGACAAGCATGTGTCTCAACAGGAAAATCCAGACCAGATGGATGACGGCGAGGAAGCGAGGGAGAACGCGGAGACGGCACTTTGCATGGACACTCCCAGTGCAGATGTGAAAAAAAAGAAAGCAAAGGAGAAAAAGAGAGAGAGTCTTCCTGTGGAGGGAACTCCTCAGCTAGTCAATACCGGAACAAAAAGGAAGCGGAAAAAAGACAAAGCAAATCCTGATGATCAGCAAATAGTTGAAGATGAAAACACGAGTGTTAATGTAGAGGAGATAACCGAGCCAAATACAGAAGTTAAGAAGAACAAGAAAAGAAAACTTTGCTCAATTGACCCAGTGACGCTGTTCGCCCTGGAGACGCCAAGTCCTCCATCACAGACAAAAAAAAAGTAAGTTTGACTGAATCGAGAAACCTACTGTTGCTAAGTGCAGTGTGAAAGGGCCTTTACAGTATTACAAGGTTTGTTTTGTCACTTTCTTACTGCAGAGAAAAGCAAAGTGGATTCAGATGAATTCTCAGCAACACCAACAACCGCATCAACAGCCATGTGACAAGCACAAGGAGGTATGGTATGATAATACCATCCATCCAACCGTGGACTGATAAAATACCATTTTATTTCTTTTGTATAAGAAGAATTGTTCATTTTTTAACCCCCCCCCTTTTTTTTCCTATTTTAATATGATCATCTAGTAAATAGGCCAGGGGTGACCAACCCGCAGCTCGCGAGCCGCATGCGGCTCTTTGGCTGGTTCAGTGCGGCTCCCGGGCTTTCACACGACAAGCGTCGAAAATGCCTCGGCAGTGGCGATGCCATTCAAACAAGGCGCTAACTACACAGAACGTACTACGTCGGCCTATCATCAATCCTGTTACTTGACATATAGGGCAACCAATCAGATGACTGCATCACCGCTCATGTGCAAACAACAGCGCTAAGCTAGTCAGCGAATTACCTCTGATTTTAAGGCAGGGGTGCCCAATTCGTCGATTAGAATCGACCAGGAGTCAGCGAACTGGTCCCAAGTCGACCGCAACGGGTGGGAGGAGGAAATGGGTGAGGAAAAAAAATTTTGTTTGTTTGTATCTTGAGCTTTCTTTCATTTTCGGCCCGTTCCGACTGTTGCTCATCGTGTTGTGCGTGCATATGTGCGCGAGTGCACTGGTGAGCACCCACTTGAGTGCGTGCATGCGTGCGAGCGCGCGCGCATGTGTGTGCGCGTGTGTGCGCGATCGGGTTGTTCGTAAGAGGTTGGTCGCTTCAAAAGTTGATCTTTGGCCAAAAAAGTGTGTGTGCGTATGTATGTGTGTGCGTGTGTATGTGTGCACGCGCGCACAAGGAAGGCTATGATGTGGCTCTTTGCAGTAACACAGTAAAAAAAAAATTGGCTCTTCGTCTCTGACTGGTTGGCCACCCCTGAAATAGGCTGTAGTACCCATATTTGTTTGTAACGGATTCCTGAAAGACAGGCCAGGTTGTTCCCCAAATTCAAGTCAAGGATCAAGGATTTTTCATTTAGGCACAGAACATTCTTTAAAAAGTCCAAACATGTCCCTAAAGTCCTACTAGACAGCAATTATGATTGCATCAGGGAATAACATATGTTTGTTTGTTTGGTTGTTTTTTTTTCTTTTTGCTTTTTAATAAGCTAAAATAAGAAAACCTTTGTCTCACAATGGAGAAATTCACATACATTACTCAGCTGTTTTGTTTTTTAACAAGCAGATAAATATTGCAGAGTTTGGTATTGTTTTATTCCATGACATATTTGTACAATATGCTTTTATATCGAATTAAACTGTCTTTTTTTATAAACCTGCTGGTCTGATTGAAAATTGTGTGAAGTGAGTCTGGCTGCATTCAGAATCTCTCATGTTCGAAAGGTTTCAAGACTAGTGCCACAAAAGATTATTATATATCGTGTTTTAAATCCAAACTGTTGACTGAAGTAATCGCCCTGGACTCTCCCACCTATGTCAGCCTTCACTCCTGAGAGGCTCCGCTGCTCTGTTGTCCCAGTCAACTTGATGTTGTCCATGTATTCAAAACAGGTCCCCTTTATCACTTCCTCTACACTGGGAAAGAGTGTGTGTGGGGGGAGAAGAAAAAAAACACAGCCACATCAGCTGAGTAGAGTTTGCCTAGTCATTAGTCATTTAGATTCCATTTTTAAATTAACATTGTCAAAATCCTCAGAAATTCAGATTCCAAACAGTAAATATTCCCCAATTTATGTAGTCCTCTATGAAAGCACACTGATTATCTTTGTTTTGAATCAATATAGAACATTTGATTTGACTTTTGAATACAATGATCAACATTTTTGCCCATTTTTTCCGACATGTTACAGACCAAACCAGTAACTGAATCACGTTTGTGCTTTTTCTGCACTCTCAATTTGAAATAATGTCCAGATTTTGAATAGTGTTTTTTAAATCTGATTCATCAATTAACAGTCATAGACGGCACTTTATGAATTGGATTTTGTGATTAAACTGCTGTCTACTAACGTTCTAATCACTTTTTATGGACAGTTTTGCATTGTAAAGGGGTTATGGAGGTCTCAAGAAAAACTTTGCAATCTTTGGTCTCTGTCCTTTAACGGGGTGCCAAAGAAGTACAGCGCTGTTATCTCCCGTTCACCAGTAGATGGCGGTGTTGTACCAAATAGCTACCTGCCAACCGTACATCCGATAAATCCCAGTAGAAGAAGAACTCATGATGTTTTCATTTGCTGGTCACAAAACCAAGTTCTGCCATGTTAACCTGCATTTTGAATTAAAGGTTGGGCTTTTTCAAAATCATGATAATGTGGAGGTTAAGTAGAATCCGACATAAAGCTGGCAGAGCAGGCTACAGCCTTGAGGAGTTCCGGGTAAAGAGGCGAGAGCACGAAAAAGGTAAAAACCTTTTTTTGCATGTATGTGTGTGTGTGTTCTTTGACGTCATTTAACGAATGAATGTAAAATCGGGAATACAGTATATTTTATCAAACGCGTTCATCTTGTCAATGTGATCAGAGTGAGTTGTGTTTCTGATTTTTTGTTTGTTTTTTTTGCCACTGCGTCTCGACATGGTGGTTGTTTTAGTTGTTTTTTAACTCTCTTGTAACAAACTTGATGTAACCTATTCGACTCACCACTGCCTTTAAGTACAGTGCAGTTCCATAACATAGCACAATACGTCCATAATGACGAAGAACACCTCTCTAATGGGATTGGTCAGAAGTAGGCATTAATTTTCTGACTAAGTGGTGTTGCCCGGGAATTTCATTCAAGGATTTAGATGGCACAAGCTACGTTGACCTTATGCATGAATGTAAAAGTTCTGCATCTCTTTGTCAATAAGGACAGAGAATTGCCGAACCGTATTAATCCTTTGTTACAGTTGAATGTATACCGCCCTTATATTGTCTGCCACTGTGTATTTTACACTCATATGAAGTTTATTTCTGGGTTCACAGAGCTTCTCTGATATACATTTGTCAATAGCTTGAGTGTCATATTGGCAAAAACTGTTGTGAGCTGGGTGAAATGTGATTTTTGGTACCGCAGCCCTTCGTCAGGCTCGCCGAGACAGACAATTGGTGAGCAGGAGACTCTTACTGAATGAAGATGAGGGGCAGCAAGAAGCCATCATGCACACTTGTTCAAATGAAAATGTGAGTAACAGCAATATAATTAGATAAATTAATGTGAAATGAAAACAAAACCAAAAAAAAAAAAGATGTCCTCTGTGCGCAGGATGTAGTCAGTTTGTTCCACAATCTTCAGCACAGCGGTCCAGAGAGGGAAGCCCACCTTAAAACCTTGAGTAAATCTCTACGTGACCTGTCAGCTCAGCTTATCTTCATCAAGTAAGCCGGGGGGGCTCCCTTCTATTTTTCTGGATGTGGCCTTCCGTGGAAAAAAAATTTCAACAGCTCTGGTTACTCTTTCTTGTGCATCACTCCACATGCATTCTGTCTAGGCAAGAGAACAGTATCCACATGCTGGTTGGCCTCCTCACCGGCCCCAACACTCAGTGCCGCCTGCAATCTGTCCGATGTCTCCACGAACTGTCTCACTCTCCTCACCCCAGCGTGGCCACAGCCTGTCTGCCTGCCACACCCTACCTCCTCACCTATCTCTCTGGGCAAAGCACCAGATTCACGGTCAGTAACCTTTCTCCCCACACCCAGTTTCATAAGACAGAACCATTCAGCTTTATGTTTTTGTGTATTCACAAAGGAGTTATGTCTCTACACACTTGGGAACTTGTGTCCGGAAAGTGATGTCGTGAGAGAGAAACTTCTGGCTCAGGGAATTATACCAGCACTTGCCTGCTGTATCGAGGTACAAAATTCACTGTCACAAATACTTTAATTGAACACCATAAAAACGTGCCTGAAACCATAAATTGTAATTATAATGCATGTGTCCAGAACCAGAGGCATAACATGGCAGTGATGGAAGCTGTGGGTTTTACCCTTTCACAGCTTCTCCAAACCAAAGACGCATCAGAGAAAATTATCCCGTAAGCACCTCAACTACCACATGTATGCATGATGATACAAGTGGGTAAACTGTTATTATTATTATTAGTAGTAGTAGTTGTAGTAGTATTACTGTTATTATTTTGTTAGTGAGGATGGTAATGATGACGGTGATATGATAATATCAATAATATCGACAAGTTAACTGATGTCGATAATAAGCGTTGAATAAAATGTCACATCGACTTCAGTGATGCAACAGATAATATTTATTTTGTGGAAGATGCCTCTCAAAAAAAATCCATCGCAGGCCACTTTGGGGTGTACTTTTGCTGCTTTTTTTGTTCTTGTGTATCATTTACTTATATTGTAATTGTCAGCGTTGCACAACCTGTTGTTTTTTTAGTCAGATTCTCCACATTTTTGCATTACTTTTTGGATGTCAAACACTGGAGGGTCCACTGTTGTTGCCTCATGGTCTCTCTCACCTTTTACAGGTTGGTTCTGGCCTCTAGTTTACCCTCACACCTATTAGCAGTGCTGACACCTGACCAGAATTTTGCCCTGGGCCCTGCCATTGAGTGTGCATGGTGTCTGCACTACCTCACGTGCAGGTGAGTGCTGTTGACTTATCTGAGCATGTATGTCAAGCAACACTAATTTATTTAAGCATGAATAAAGACGTGACTCTTCTCTGTTGCTATCTTTTCTGCAAAGTGGGGAGGATAACCGAGCTCTGTTGGCCTGTGGGGCTCTGTTGCAGTGCAGTATGCTGTTAGTGTCGCTGGGTGGCGCTGTCGCTCAAGGAAACAAAGCAGAGGGAGTTGAACTGGTGAGGAAATGTTTGCATATTGTCGGCTACATATATTTGTTGCCGAAGTCATCATTATTCAATATTTTGGCGAAAATAAAAAAATATTGAATAATGATTATTGGGCCTTTTTGCTTTCACTTACCTGTTCATCCATCGGGTTGAAGTTTTTGTTAAAGGTCAGGTATGAAGGAAACTTGGCCACCCATCTTTTGAGTAATACTTAGGGCTAAAACTATTTCAAGCATACTTTTGTCAGTTAGTTTTTGCACGCAACCCACCCAAGTTCATAGTTAGACCCATAGCAATTGGATTGGATTGGATAAACTTTATTGTCAAGTGTACTGTATGTGCAACATACAGCACAGATGAAATGCCCTTAACTACGGAAATGATTTTGTTTGGCAGCGAGTGACGTCATTTACAGAGTGCCACGATGCCAGTCAGCCATTTTAATGCATTGCTAAATGTCCCATTAACTGCTCTTTGTCATTGTTATCGAGTTATTCGGCGAAAAGCCTCGGCGCTGTGTGGCGATGCACTGTTCACATTCAGGCAAACAATTGTTTGAGTGCCTAAAAGGAATGGGGCATGTACATGGACCAGACAATTGGAACGATACAGTTTCACACTGGCAAAGCGAATGAACTTCACACCAGTCTCAACGAGCGTTCTTTGTTACAAGCACTTTGAAGACCTCTTGTTTTCTCAACCAAATTTGCAATAAAGGTATGTGTGCTAATCAATGAATAACTCTCGCTGTTGTTTATGAAAACATTTGATTCAAAGTATTATATGTATACTGTACATGGATGCAATCCTGTACGAAAACATTCAAACTATATGAGTGCATGGATGGAATCCTCTGTCATGGTTTACACCTAACAATGCTGCTGATATAATGTGCAAAGTCGCCGACAATGCAACTGAACTACCTTAGGAATGACAATATAGGACACCAATCCAATATGAGTTGTGCTCTCAGTGCTCGCGGGAATACAGTACATGGACCAAGTAGCTAAACCCATCGTCCACAATTTACAGCACGCCACAGCAGTGTATTGCAAACAATAACACTAGGCTAATAACCGCAGCCTATCTCGTTTTTTGTTTTTCCAATCCCGATGGGTCTCGTCTCCATTCCATCTCGGCCGTTCAGGCACAACATTTTCCACATTCTGAGTATCTGGCTCATTCATGTATGATCTAACATAGATGTTGCCAACAACCTCCTCTTCCTCCAACTCCTCAAACACCTCGATCCCCTCTGATAAGTTTGAAACGTCGCTTTCCGTATCGATTTCTGACTGACTTAGTACACTTTCCATAGTGAGCCCCGCTATTGTTGTCTTGCAGTGATGTCACACTTCTGCGCTTGACGCTCGTCAGTATCTCACTCCAGGAAAACAATTACTTTGTCAAACTTACAAAATACTAATTCCTTTTCCATGCTTTATTGAATGTATTTTGTTTAATTACTTTATTTGTGACATAAAAATGTTTCATTTGATATTTCCTAAAATTACTTCAGAGTTGACCTTTAAATTATCAATTGAACAAATATTGAATTTAAAATATTTTGCCTTTACAAAGGTAAAAATGCTCACTTTTTTGTTGCCTTGTACAGTACACCATTTTTTTTTATTCTTAGTGCACCAAAGTTGATGGCACATTATTTATTTATGTATTTATTTATTTATTGCTATGTTCACCCCCTCAGCTCGTGTGCCCTCTGCTGAGGTGCGTTGGGAACCTCCTGTCCTGCACACCAGATGTCCCAGACGCTTGTTTGAGTGACGTTGGGCTCACGGTCGCTCTCTGTGCTCTGCTTCAAGCTTACGTCCAGACTCAGCCCTCTTTGGCCAGAGAGAGTGCCTGGGTCCTCAACAATCTCACAGGTGGTTCTTCATTCTAAACATATTTCAATCCATTTTATTTCAACAAAGTATAACAACTCACAAGACCCGCAGTGCATTACCTGATGGGCAGCACTTTAAGTAACTGTAGACATCGACAGTGGGTAAGAAGTCCACACGCCCCGGCACAAATGCTCGGTTTAGTGATTTTGAAAAATTTGATCAAGACAGTTACAAGAGGAATTGCAAATTTGTGCAACCATGTTTAGTTTTTTTTTTTTTTTTAATATTATAAATGTTGCATTGAGGCAACTTGTCTCTTTTTGTTTGTTGGAGATGTTTCACCTTTTATCCAGTTCTAAATTTTGATTTATTTCAGAACTTTGGGCTCTTGGAAATTAATCAGAATGATTAGATTTTGTTGAAGGTCATCAAAAACAGAATTAAATGATGGTAGTCAAATTCTTTGTCAAATATTAAGAGTGGGACAAATATTGACATTATCAGTTTTAATACCATGACATCGAATGGTAGCTTGTAAATATTTTTTGGTTTTGTTTTAAGGAAAATTCAACCAAACTGATTTTAAAGTGGAAAATGTGCAGAGCACTGAAATAGCATGATCTCTGTTGAAAATATCACTTTGATAATTACAACTGAAAGGATTACCCATTACTCTGTTGGCTCTGAAACATTTTAAATATTAAATGAACATGTGATGTTAAGTGATTATCGAGATATGAGATTGTCTTTTATAGAGAGAAATGTTTGTTTTTTATTACATTTTCTTTGTGAATGTTTCTCAAGTTACAGTAAGGTGCGCATATTCAGTTACTGTTATGATCGGGTACTTTTCCGCATTCTCAAGGGCTGTATAATATTATAATTCCTGGGGGGGTTCTGTTATGTTAACCAGCTCGATCCAGTCTGTTTTGTTCGGCCTTGATAACGCTCAACTTGGTCCCGAATTTGATCCAACTTCTTCCATTCTCTCAAGGCATCAACACAATGGTCTGTACGATCGCTCAAGTTAAATTTGAAGTTATTTTTTTTTAGCATTGTAACTTCTTATATCTTAACAATGTTGGGCTTCATCTCCCCACCATCTCGCATTCAGATCCTGAGAGTTTTAGCAAACGTGGCCCACAAGAAGAAGGAGTTCTGCATCCAGTTGGCTGAGTTCGGATTGCTATCTTCCCTCTGTGCCACACTTAAAATGGCAGAGCAAGCGGTGGTGACCTTGAGTCTCGACATCCTTTTCATGCTCTTCGCTAGTGGTTCTCAAGTAAGTCAAACACTTCATTTTGACCCACTTTCATCAAATCATCTCCATTTCTCATCAGAGCTGCCTTATATTCTTCCTCAGGTGGTTGAGGACTTTGCGAGGGAAGGCGGCATTTCACTTCTTGAAACTTTTCAATACTACAGCGAAGAAGATGTGAGGCGAAAAGCAGTATACCTCCTGGAAGGACATGTTCTTTCTTCCTCCTCACAATGCGCTGTAAATACTCCCCTATTATTTATCAAGTGTCTTCTAAGTAGGAATTTAAAACTAAAGCAGTGTTGTGTGTTGCAGGTCAGTTGCATCCCTTCTTCTTAACTGCAAGTCAAATGTGGGCAGTGCAACGTTAAATACAAATGTATCAAAGACCCATCTGAGAAAGAAAATGTACTCATCACATTTTTAAAAAGGCAGACAAAGTTTTTAAATGTACATTCGTCATTGATTCTGTATGATTTGATTGTAAATGTGATCACTCTGGACAATAAGCGAATTTTGTTTCCTGCACGCTAAAGGGTATGATAATACAGTTAAACTCCTCTACAACGAAACCTACGTGGTCGAAAATACCCCCTAGTGTGAAAAAATCTTAATGCATTAACACCATTCCCACTCTCCTGCCCTCCATACAACGAAAAAAACCCTGTTGCGTTATACGAAATCTTTTTCTCTGCTCTTGCTTCGCGACGAGATTCACTACAACGAAGTCTAATCCAACAGCGACCTCTACTGCTTCGTTCGGAAACAGCAAGAGCAACCACCACACTGGTTTACACATGCAGCGCAGTAGTCCAGGAAGTATTTGTTATTCTTAGTTTCAGACGCAGCAAGAACGTTGCATTGCTAAAATGGCTACAAAACGGACCTTTGGATGTCAAGCAGCGAAGAGAAGAAGAGCTCTGACGCTGGAAAAGAGGGTAAAAGTGATCAAAATGTAAGATGGAGGAAGCAAAATAAAAGACATTATCCAAGAAATTGATGTAAGTGAAAGTTAATGCTGCTCGTAAATTTTGCAATTTCTTTCCCTTTTTTTCTTTCTACACTGACTATATGAAGTGTCAAATAAGTTTATGCTCATACTTATGCACTATTGGAATAAAAATAAAGAGTACACATACGTTTGTGTGTGTGTGTGTGTTTACATCTGAGATCAAATTTGCTACAGTAAAAAACCCCCTGTTGTGAAAAATTTCTTGCTGCAAACATGATTTCACTGTAGAGGAGTTTCACTGTACAACAAACGTATGCCAACTACCGAAAGAAAGTAAAATAAGAAATAAAAAGTTGTCATGGCAACTAACTAACTAACTCTCACCAGCTGGCTTACTAGTTTAGTTTGCGTCATCCACCCCAACAAAGATTTATTTACGATTTACATCAAAAGTTGCAATAAACGACTGGGATTCTACCTTTGGCCACAATGCAACGTGGTATTGTATTAAACTGAAAAGAAAAACCTTTTGAGAAGCAGATGTTTTGATTCCAATCAGTACATATTAGGTGCCCTCAACACAATTAGGGAACGGCAACTTTGGATTCAAGTACGAGCTGGAGTTTGACATATTTTGGGGAATCCACAGCTATCACAGGATTGAAATGGTATGAGATAAAAAGTTCACGGGAGCAATTTGGAGCGTGATTATCCAGTAGGAGGAAAACAAACTGACAGCTGCACAAGTTTATTTTTTTTATGTAGCTCACCTCCATTTTAGAAGTGGTACGAGAATTCTGAACGAGAGCAGAACTGGAGTGGAAGTCATTTTCACCGGGAGCGGGCGGGGACAAGATTATTATTATTATTATTATTATTATTATTATTATTATTATTTATTTGTTTATTTTAAATCCATGGTCCACAACTGGGACTGGACAGGATTTTTTCCTTAAGAGTGGGATGGGACAGGAGTTACCCTCAACTATGAGCTCTAATTTTAATATAAGTCACACCTGAGTAGAGGTCTCAGGACCATCCAAACTACAGTATTTTTTTTTTTTGTGAGATTTATTGTCCCAAAAATATTATCAATGTGCATGTCAAAAACATAAAACTGAGATCATAAACAGTCAATATATTTGTGTTATATCATCTGTAGCTGTTTTTTTTATTCTTTTCATGAAAGTAAACGAATCACTGTTATTGAAACAAGCGTTGGTTTCAAAGTCTATTTTGGCACCTATTTTAAATTAAACCAGGTGGTATGAGTGCAACCTCTGAATTACATCATTTCAGTTGACAACATCATTCCCAAAACACAAAATCAGTATGCAAGAAAGTACTATTTTCTATACCAAACAGGGAACAGGGAAGTTAGACATCACAATTGCTGCACTAAGTACAACTTGCTTTAAATACCTCTTTTGAAGGTGTGAAGCCATACAAACGAATCCTGGTATAGATTAAACGAGGAAGTCAAAATCAAATCGAGACCCACTTGTTGAGCTGGGCTCAGTACAGTTGCACACAGGTCTGAATTCAAACCACTGTCGACCCACACCAAATACAGGATACAAGCGACTCTTTGGGTTTAACAAGCCCCCGAAGCCCGGCGTCGTGGGGAATATTAGACAGGAATGAATGTTGACCATATGTGGTCTTTCGATGAGCCGCATTGCTGCCAGTGTGTTGTGGGTCAAAGCACGCAGAGCACACGCTCCTGCGGGTTACTGCACCCATTCGCAACGCTGCTCAAAATTTGTAAAAAGAGCGTCGCAATGTCATGAATGTGAATCTGTAACTGCTTCATTAATGGGCCATCAGATAGAATTGTGTATATATGTTGGAGGGGTCATTCTCATTTGCATTGGAATGGTGACACCGAGATCCCTGTTCTGGTAACATGGATGAGCGTATGTTTGTTGGTTCGATCCTCTACAACTTTGGTGTCGACCAAGGGAGTGTTGATGGCAGAGAGTCAAATCTGAGCTTCGACTGTCAGGTGATGTTGTGATGAAGCTCGCCTCCACCTCCCCATGAGGGTCAAAACTACAAGATATACTCTATACACAACTTTCTTTTAAGATATTTTAAAAATGGGTGAAAAGGTCAACATGTCAATGCAGTTCACGTCAGAATCCAGGTCAACATGTCAGTTTTCAGAGGGATAACTGAAAATATATTGTTTAAGATTTTTTAAAAATCAGGCAAAAAGGTCAATATGTCAGAATTCAGGTAATCATGTCACCTTTCGGAGGCCTTTTATTTTAAAATGCGACATCAGATCTGTATGAGGGTGGTCTGGTTGGATAGCTGGGATGCTGTAGTGT